AGCTGCGGCTGTTTCTGAACATGTGGCCCCAGAGAGATTGTTTCCTCCTGGTTGTGGGTTCAGACGAGCAGAGAATGAAATGCTGGGTGCCGACCCACACACAGAGCTGGTTTCTGACGTTTCCAGTGCGTTGGCTGCGGCTTGGCTTCAGCCAGAACCGGGCCTCCGATGAACAGGCTCCATTGTTGCTCCGTATGAGGAGGGCAAACCATTCTTTCCATTTTCCATTTCAGCTCTTGTCTCTCTGGGTTTTTTTTTGTTTTGTTTTGTTTCATGTTGGGGAACTCTCCCCTTATTTCCAGCCGTTTCAGAATACCATAAAGGCCAACATGTTTCTCATTAGAACTCTGGAGAAACCAACCATTGGTGGCTGACTGTACTGTAGACAGCATTAAACATTTGGAAACGATAAGGCTATCAAATTATTAATTTTTTTAAACCCTGCTTTATTACGCGTCAATATGATTTCACTTGAACAAAGAGTGACGAGAGGATGGATTTTAAAATAAAACAAGAAAACAGTTCATGTAGTTCAGGTTTTTTTGGGATAAAAAAGTGAATTCTTTATGAGTTTTTCAGCCCAATGTACGAGTTGTCCTTGAATGCACCATAAAATTTTAGCTGTTGGGTAATCCCCCTTTTTCAGTTGGACTCCACAGTGTGTGTTAGCGTCTAATGCAGTGGGAACAGGGGCGGATTTAGGAAATTTGGGACCCTAGGCAAAAAGAGGCTGGAGGCCCTCTGAATTCAGAAGACAACTCATAAAACAAATCTATTATACAGATACAGAAATTTAAATAGAATGGAGATACGTTATTTGTTCTAGGTTTTGTCCCTCTCTCCTTGTTCTTTTCCTCTGTGTGTTCTGTACTCAGCTGACATTTCATGCTGTCTCTAAAGGAATGAAAGATCATTGATGATCTGCTTATCTGTTCTCCATTTTTCATTTGGATGAAATAATAGCTGCATGAATCATGACAGCAGACGAGATAGAGGAGAGCAGGAGGCGGGGTTACCAATCTACTTGCTCTGGAGAGCAGAGTTCGCTGCTTTTAGATGCTGTCGCCAAAGTCTCCAGTAGCAGAAAAAGTCGCTAGATTTGGCGCTAGGTGCTTTTTATAAAATCAAAGTGCTAGAGGGGTCTGAAAAGTCACTAAATATAGCGACTAAAGCACGAAGTTGGCAGCACTGCTCTTTGCATGGTTTGTTTTCAAATGGTTTGCTGCTGTCTGTTTGGACCTTTCTGAACATGTGCAGCAAATGACTGATCCAATATGGTGGACACTGAACGGGGGGGCTGAGACACACTTAATACTATAAGCGTTCTGATGGGATTGTAATGAAATTATTTTGATCAAAAGCATAATTAATGTGCACAAGTAAGGAATATTTGGATTAACTATACATCTAAACAGAGTTTTATGGGGCCCCCAGGAACTCTGGGCCCTAGGGAACAGCCTAATGGTAAATCCGCCCTGAGCATGAAGGCTTTCTCCACTTTAACAGTAAACTTAAAGGTTGTTGCTTTAAAATTTGTGCATTGTGAGTTTGAGACTCAGTTTAGGTAGAAAGCTTTGCTGCATTCGTTTAGCACACTGTATCGAACCAACGTGACCGTACTGATTTTATCCGTTCAAATGTGCCGTAGTAACGAAGTCATTGAAGCATGAGAGCATCAGTCCAAAGTCATTATTCTATTTATTAATTCTTGGCACCATAATAGTCAAAAAATTTATATCAAAAACACAGAAATCTCATCTACTAATGCAAATAAAGATTCGATAAGAACAAGGATCTCAGAGCCTGAAAGAAATGTTTGAGTTGTCCTGGAATATGATCCAAGTTTGAACAGCTGCATAAACACTGTTACTTAATGAGCTTGATATCACCTTAAAACACTTTCAGAACCAAGGGTTTCCAGTCAAAACAGGAAATTATTGTAATGGTTTAGCCAATCTAGTGAATAAAATCCTTCCAGCAGCTCCACCTCATCCAGAGACCTGACCAACACTGGGAAAATGGATCAAACCGGAGATCTGCAGGAATCTGATTTAGTTTCCTTTAGATCTGTAACCCAGGCTTTCCCTCTTTAACCTGCAACTGGTGGAAGACACCCTATGGACTCTGCGTTGTGTTTTCTTTTGGGTGAAGGTGGGATGTGTTCCGTGCAGAAGAGGAATCAGACACAGGGCTCTTAGTTGTGGGGAGACCTTGGCGCGTTTATTTTGTCCACCTTACAGGCAGTAAAACACACTGTCAGCAACCGTTTTCCTTTCTTTCTTTTTTACAAAGTAATCAAACATCACCAGTACAAAATGTAATATGTACGTAACTGGCAAACTAAACAAACAGAAATAGCTCAGTATATTAGTGTATATTTTACACCGGGCTAGCAGAGCTCCTGCTTACCTTACAGGCAGTAAAACACACTGTAAGAAATACAGCAGTTCCTGTACAAAAATCCCCCGTACTCCCCAGCAGGACAAACATGTTAGAATTATAGTAGTGCCAGCAATTACAGAAAGCAACAGCAACATCCTTTTGAACATTTATGAACTGCATTACAGACAGTGATGGGACTAACGGCGTTGAAAGTTTTAGTAACGAGTAATCTAACTAATTACTTTGACTGTAACTATAACGCAGTCATCCATTGCAGACACCCTGTTACTGCGCGTTACTCAGGTGGCACAATGAACCTTTTTTCATGATAGGACTCGTGCGCGCCTTGTCATGAGAGAGGGGAGGATGAGAATGGCTGATGTATAGTGAGATTCTGTCAGTTGGGTAGGTGGGTGTTTCTGCTGGCGGGTGTTAACGTAAAGCACACACAGAGAGATGGAGAGTGAGGAGGACTCCAGCAGCAAAACAGCGTTTTCCAAATGGAAATACCGGTGTTACGTAGAGAAACATACGGTTTCCCCTGCTTATCCGCACAGCGCAGGCGGCACGATTCACCGCGCAAGCGACAGGAAACGCGCATGCTCGCTAAAGGCGCGTAACAGTCGCCCTGTGCTCGCGGCACAGGGGAACTACGGAGAGCGAGAACGATCAAATGATATATGGAAAAGGGGAAATCTGGATGGATGGATGGATACTCTGCCTTTTCAACCTACTGTATGTTTTATTTTAAACATTATTTGATGGCCGTTATGTCACACACAGAGTATACATCTAGATAGATATCTATAACAGTATCTATAACAACCCAAACACACAGGATTTCAGAATTAGACATCCGCAGTTATTAATTTCATATACTCACCAGATCTGAATGCCCTGTTAAAAAACTTCACATCGCGTTCCCCCCTGATGTCATTTATGTTGAGTTGCAATAAATGCTAAACTCTCTGCAGGTTCTTGTCTTTGTCGTCCGCTCTATTCAGCTGGCTTTGAAACACACGGCGAGAAGGTGGGGGTGGGTGGTGAGGGTTACGGGGGCGAGAAACGCAAAAGTAACGCAATAGTTACTTTTACTAGTAACTAGTTACTTTTATTGTGGAGTAACTCAGTTAGTAACTTAGTTACTTTTTGGGAGAAGTAACTAGTAACTATAACTAATTACTTTGTCAAAGTAACGTGCCCAACACTGGTTACAGATCAATTTGTCCTTCTAATGGTGATAACAACATGCTTCTGGCAAGATTAAGATATTATTGTTAGATTTGAAGAGTTAATTAAAGATTTGTTGGCCTCTTGGTTTATATCCAGCTGTCTACTGGGAAAAGGCAGGGTACACCCTGGACATCGCAGGGCAATATAGGGACAAAGAGGACAAACAACCATTCACGCACACCCAAGGAGAATTTAGAGAAGCCAGTTAACCTAACAGTAATTTGTTTTGGAATGTGGGAGGAAGCCAGAGTACCCGGAGAGAACCCATGCATGCTCGGGAGAACATGCAAACCCCATGCAGAAAGACCCCGGGCTGGGAATCAAACCCAGAACCTTCTTGCTGCAAGGCAGCAGTGCTATCCACTGCACCACTGAGCAGCCCACTATTGATAACCTTGTTTTTTCATCTATCCCAGCCTATAAATCTTTTAAGAAATCGTTCTAACCTATTAAAGGCATACTATGCAACATTTTTCAGTTAATTAATGTGTTCCAAAATGTTTTGGATGATTAAATGAGTCATTTCAGGTCGAACAAAGGTTTTCTCGGCCGCCCTGGTGGTCTGTAGGGGAAATACGTACCCTCGGCCCGCACCCACAGGCTCAGAAGTCTCGTGCATCGCGAGACTCGGTCTTGCTTTACGGCGAGAACTGCTACACTCCCCCAGTGAAAGGCACGCTCGTTGCTAGCGCAGTGGCGACATTTGTGCAGTTATCATGGGGGAACCAGCGAGAATTTTCAAACTCGAAAATTGGAACAAAATAGTCACTTACCGCAGTAGACATGGTGATTCGTTGCGTTCGCATGTCTGCTAAGCTCAAAACAACCGCGCCTGGCTTGACGGAGAAACCAGAACAGCTGAGCATATTTACGACAGTGCACTTTTACTTTTGCCCTCTGGGGGGAGCCTCGCTGGAAAATCAACACCGGTTGCATATCATACCTTTAAGTTCATTAGAACTTATGACCTCTCATCCACTCTGGAGTTCACCTGTTGCCAAACTCTTAATTTTCTTCCAAAAAAAATAAAATTGTACACAATAATTCTTCCCTTGATTAATTCTTGAACTTGTCTTTGCTGCTGAGCTTTTCTCTAACTCAAAGTCCTCCTACTGTACTGCGCTGTATGTCGTACCGTTTTCTCCTAAAAACGAAAGAAAGATGAGATGTACCTTCTTTCTTGGTGGTTCTTCCTTTATCTTATAGCGTCCTTCATTTGCTGCAAAGTTCTTCAAAGTTCTTCGTGAATCTCTTACTGCTGACGAAGCGTTGATAACTATTTGCCTCCTCTGTCGTCTTGTCTCAGTCCGTCCTTCTTCGTCTTGTCCTCATTTCTTTAGTCGTGTAACTGAAGGTTTGACTCATTGACTTTATTCTACCATCAGCTCCAGTTCTGGGCTGCAGCTCCATAAATTGTAATGTGGTGCTGACTGAAGCCCGGGGGGAGATCAAGTCACCCTGCTACCCCGAGAAATACCCCAACACTCACACCTGTAAGTGGACCCTGCAGGCGCCAGCCGGCTTCATCATCCAGCTCTCGTTTTTGGACTTTGAACTGGAAGAGGCGCCAAACTGCATGTACGACCGGGTCCTGGTGAACACGGGTAACGCAGAATCAAAGTTTTGTGGTCTGACGGCCAGCGGTTTGACACTGAACTCCACAAGGAACGAGATGGAGCTTTCCTTCATCTCTGACTTCAGCATACAGAAGAGGGGGTTCATGGTTAGCTTCCAGCACGGTACGTTCCGGCTATGATGTGAACATTTTAAAAGGAGTAAATTACGTTAAAAGGTCTTGAAAATAACCTATGTATAACCTTTTTTTTGGCCTATTAAAGGTACCAACTTAAGAGTTCACCAAAAATGTGCATATAATTTCCAATTTTTTCTGTATGTTAATTGTTTTCTGTTTAAGGTAACCAAGGTAGAAAAAAAAAAACAAGGCGACTGATAACTTAAATCTGAAAACACACAGTGTTGCTTCTGTATCCTATTTTTTATGCAAGTTTGAATAAATTCAAAGGTGTATTTTCTCTTTGTGTTCAACCTCCATGCTTATTTCTCCTTTTAACATCTTTGCTTTCTTTTATTCCCTCCACTCCAGTTGCTGTGGCTCTGAGGAACCAGAAGGTGAAAATCCCAAGTGCAGAGGTGGCAGAGGTCGCCAACTCTGTTTACATCCCGTCACTCAATGAACTGACCATATGTTTGGAAGTGGAAAGACTGGACGTTATTCAGGTGCTGATGAGGTTTCCATTTGGAGGTTTCAATCTGTGGTTTCAGTATGTCGAAGCGTGGAGTTACTGTTAAGGAGGTGGAGTTGCATTAACTGCAGTCCAATAGCTGTTAAAACTGCAGTTTGATGGATAGTTCTGGTAACTCTTATGATTCTTTAAAGTCGTAGGGAAGTCATATTTAAATATCAAATCATTCTTGCTTAAACATGTTTATAAATGTACTCTTTATCAGACCATATTGTCCCAAAATTTAGAAAATGTATTCAGGCCAGTTAGTTCTACGTCAGCCTGAACTCCTAAATTCGGCCAATCATATATCAACGGTCATCTGTCAGTCAAATATTTTCAGTTATAGCATCTTGATTCATGTGTCGGAGCTAATATACACAAAGGTTGAAATCAGAATCCTTTCCTTTCCCATTGAGTTGCGTCCCAGTGTTCACGGGGATGGACGTCTGTGTCTTCAGCAGGCGTAGAGCTAACAGAAGTGGCAGCGTTGCAAGGCAAGGGCTCAAACATCCTCTAAATAAAAAATGGATGACGGAGGAGACTCATCCACGACCTCCGACACTAAACTCTCCTCCTCTTGCATGTTTTCCGCTGTCCATAGCGTTCCTTGACAGCGTCGTTTCTAAGTCACCAATTTAGTGCTACTTGATCCCAATGGAATTTCCCATTGGGAACCTAAGTTGCTAAGTGGTTAGCAACAATGCTTCCGAGACACCGTCTACAATCAAAATTGCTTGAGAACCTTCCTCCACAACAATCCTGCCCTCTTGAGAATTATTTGAATTACAATAAATGTATTCGCTCGTTTAAAGTCGGGCACCACTCGGGAGAATTCGGAAATGCAACGGTTGGAACAGCCGCTTCCCTACGACTTTAATCACCGAAAATGTCAGAGATGTTCACACCAGATGATCATGGGGTTTTGAGCAGAGGTGGACCGTCTGGTTTCTTTTCTCCTGTTCACTTATCTTTTAACCTGACTCCGCCAGATGGATTTGCTCCGCATATCCATCTGGAAACCTTCGGTTGAAGTAATTTTGGGAAGGGGCGAAAATACTGGTTAGCTGATTGGCCTATGTTGGTGATAGACGGGCCAAATAAACCAATCAGATCAACGAAGCATATGACGTACTAACAGCCAGGCTATTCTTGCGGAAACCAGTCGGGAGAAGAGCAAAAACATCTTTTTCTCTGAGAAAAGCCTCCAGAGCAGTGTTTTGCTCTTCTTTCAGTAAAAAAATACTCTGTAATTCCGATAAAACTTGCTCGATACCCACGCTAACGCTAGTTTCATCGGCTGAAGCCGCCATGTTCTTGAGACTAAACTGTCGCGCTTCTCGTTGCGTCACACCTCAACCCGCCTCAAAGCCAATGCTGATTGGAGGTTCGTTTGGTGAACGGCTCCAAATGTTCTTCAACGGAGAGTCTCCAGACTGATTAGCAAGTGAAGTCTTGAAAGCTCGCGAGATCAGGATGGTCTCACGAGGCTACTTATCTTTAGGATTAGTCCTGCGCTTGGATCTGGAAACACTCTGTAAAGGCCTTTTTTTTACTGTGTGGACCTAAATCTCCCGTCTCTGGTTGTAAGATGCTGACTTCCTTAGAAGACTCCATTAGATGTAGAAGTACCACAGATCAGCAATTTCCAACTGGATGATGAAGCTTTTTACTCTTCCTTTAAGGCTTTGCCACAGTAACAATGAAGTTAATTTCTGTTCCTTTTATCAGGGACGTCATTCTTTCTGGCATTTCTTATGATGGTTAACCTGTTATTGGACAATTGAATTAGAGGCTTGGTTTTCAATACAAAGAGATGTGCTCCACTGTGTCGAACCCGGAGAATCACTTTTCCATAATTTCCTGGTAGACTGCAAAAATTGGAAATCTAAATGAGTAATTTTTGCTTGAATTACAGGTGCTGGTCATAAAATTAGAATATCATGAAAAAGTAGATTGATTTCAGTAATTCCATTTAAAAAGTGAAACTTGTATATTATATTCATACATTACATACAAACTCATATATTTCAGATGTTTATTTTGTTTAATTTTGATGATTACAAATGACAACAAATGAAAATCTCAAATTCATCATATCAGAAAATTAGAATATTACTGAAGACCAATAAAAACAAAGGATTTATAGAAATGTTGGCCAACTGAAAAGTATGAACATGAAAAGTATGAGCATGTACAGCACTCAGTATTTAGTTGGGCCTCCTTTGGCCTGTATTACTGCAGCAATGCGGCGTGGCATGGAGTCGATCAGTCTGTGGCACTGCTCAGGTGTTATGATAGCCCAGGTTGCTCTAATAGTGGCTTTTAGCTCTTCTGAATTGTTGGGTCTGGTGTATTGCATCTTCTTCTTCACAATACCCCATAGATTTTCTATGGGGTTAAGGTCAGGAGAGTTTGCTGGCCAATTAAGAACAGGGATACCATGGTCCTTCAACCAGGTACTGGTAGCTTTGGCACTGTGTGCAGGTGCCAAGTCCTGTTGGAAAATGAAATCTGCATCTCCAAAAAGTTGGTCAGCTGCAGGAAGCATGAAGTGCTCTAAAACTTCCTGGTATGTGGCTGCGTTGACCCTGGACCTCAGAAAACACAATGGACCAACACCAGCAGATGACATGGCACCCCAAACCATCACTGACTGTGGAAACTTTACACTGGACTTCAAGCAACGTGGATGAAGTGCCTCTCTTCTTTTCCTCCAGACTCTGGGACCTTGATTTCCAAAGGAAATGCAAAATTTACTTTCATCAGAGAACATGACTTTGGACCACTCACCAGCAGTCCAGTCCTGTTTCTCTTTAGCCCAGGCAAGACGCTTCTGACGCTGTCTGTGGTTCAAGAGTGGCTTGACACAAGGAATGCGACAGCAGAAACCCATGTCTTTCATACGTCTGTGTGTGGTGGTTCTTGAAGCACTCACTCCAGCTGCAGTCCACTCTTTGTGAATCTCCCCCACATTTTTGAATGGGTTTTGTTTCACAATCCTCTCCAGGGTGCGGTTATCTCTCTTGCTTGTACACTTTTTTCGACCACATCTTTTCCTTCCCTTCGCCTCTCTATTAATGTGCTTGGACACTGAGCTCTGTGAACAGCCAGCCTCTTTAGCGATGACCTTTTGTGTCTTGCCCTCCTTGTGCAAGGTGTCGATGGTCGTCTTTTGGACAACTGTCAAGTCAGCAGTCTTCCCCATGATTGTGTAGCCTATAGAACTAGACTGAAAGACCATTTAAAGGCTTTTGCAGGTGGTTTGAGTTAATTAGCTGATTAGAGTGTGGCACCAGGGGCCATCAATTTTGAACCTTTTCACAATATTCTAATTTTCTGATATGATGAATTTGAGATTTTCATTTGTTGTCATTTGTAATCATCAAAATTAAACCAAATAAACATCTGAAATATATGAGTTTGTATGTAATGTATGAATATAATATACAAGTTTCACTTTTTAAATGGAATTACTGAAATCAATCTACTTTTTCATGATATTCTAATTTTATGACCAGCACCTGTAGGTGCATCTTTTCTTGAAATGAGGAGGTAAGTGGGATACTTTGCCAATGGAACAAGACAATTTACATTTAAAATAAGAAAAAAAATGCTTTGTCTTATTTCAAGTGCATATTAACTAATTATCTAATTTTAGGAGTGAAAATACTTATTCCATTGGCAAATCATCTTATTTATCTGCTTAAATTAAGGGTAAATACCCTTTATTTAAGATTTTTTTTACTTATTTCCAGATGGTTTTTGCAGTCTAACGGCCTTTTAACCAGCCAATGTCCAGTTTTAAGGAGATGGAATTTGTACACTGTGGAGTGAGCAAGTTGGCAGTCGCTTTGAATTTACTTTAATAGCATAACAGAGATTTCTTCAGCTTGATTGATATAAAAAAGCTGATATTAACAGATGGAAAAAAGATAAAAAATAAATAAAAATGTGATATAAGCAGCATACATTTTGTCTTATTCCTGTGCTGCTTTAAACTTATTCTAATTTTTGTGTGTGTCTGTGTGTCGTGAACAGGAAGGATGGCTCTTCACCTACTACGATGTCAACAACAACGTGGCGTTAAGCTTTGGCTCCAGTCAGAGTGGCATGAAAATATTCATCGATGGAGTAGACTGCATAGTGGAGTCAGTTATCCCAACCTCTTACATCACCTCCTCCATGAAGCCCTTCTGTGTCCTCTGGACGTCCTCAGATGGCCGTGTGGCGACGTACTTCAATGGGATGTCCCAGGAGATGACCTGCCAGCCCACTATTGGCCGCACTGTACCGGTTGGAGGAGTCTTCAAGTTAGGAGGTTTGTTTAGAGTTTTATTTTGTCCCTTAAACTCAGCAGACAAAGACAGAAACAGCTTTCTCATATTCTCTCCATCCATCCATTTTCTGTCACGCTTATTCCAGTTTAGCCTCGTGAGACCATCCTGATCTCGCAAGCTTTCAAGATTTCACTCACAGATCAGTCTGGAGACTCTCCGTTGAAGAAAATTTGGAGCCGTTCACCAAACGAACGTCCAATCAGCGTTGGCTTTGAGGCGGGTTGAGGTGTGACGCAACGAGAAGTGCGACAGTTCAGTCTAAAGAACATGGCGGCTTCAGCCAATGAAACTAGCATTAGCGTGGCTATCGAGCAAGTTTTATCGGAATTACAGAGTATTTCTTCACTGAAAGAAGAGCAAAACACTGCTCTGGAGGCTTTTCTCAGAGGAAAAGATGTTTTTGCTCTTCTCCCGACTGGTTTCGGCAACAATTTGATCTATCAATTGGCTCCTCTTCGTCGTCGCTCTGTTAGTACGTCATATGCTTCGTTGATCTGATTGGTTTATTTGGCCCGTCTATCACCAACATAGGCCAATCAGCTAACCAGTATTTTCGCCCTCTTTTTTTTAACAAAAGGATTTTGATCACAAACATAATTAATGTGCACAAATAAGGAATAGTTGCATTAACCTTACATGTAAACAGACTTTTATGGGGCCCCCAGGAACCTGGAAACTTCCTAGTTTTGCCGAATGGTAAATCCCCCCCCCCTGACTGGATGCGTACATGTTTGTCCTCAGGGGTACCGAGTTTCAAAGGGAACATCTACAACCTGCGCCTGTGGAATCGTACCTTGACTCAGCAGGACCTTGAAAGCTTGACCTGCACCACGGTGGGGAACGTCATCGACTGGGACAACAGCCAGTGGGTCATCGTGCCCTCGCTTCCTCAGACCGACAACACGCTTAGCTGCAGTAAGTAAAAGTTGATGAAGACTCAAAGGTTAAAACTCAGATCTGTGAAAACTTAAAATATGTATTGCATTATGGTGCAATCTACTAATTTAGTTTTACAATATATTGAATTTAATATAGAACAAAAATGTGTCATTTATTTTTATAATTGGAATTGTTGAAGTACGTTGTTAATTGTTAGACCCTCCCATTAATTTGAGTAATTAAGAACACACCTGGGCTGGAGGATTGTTTGGTAAATGTCTGGTGTGGACGGGAGGTTTTGTAAAATTCAGTTCAATTCAGTTTATTTCTATAGCGCCACACTAAGCATGCTTGTAGCGACAGTGGAGAGGAAAAACTCCCTTTTAACCCATTTAGGCCGGGAAAGCATTAGCGTATTTCTACCATTCAAGCCGGGGGCGCTGTTGCGTAATTCTACCATTGACGCCGGGAGAGCATATAAGTCAAGCAAGAAGAAAGAAGTTTTTTTCAAGCAAACATGGAGGAGTTTGACAGAGAAGAGTTGTCGGAAGGCAGTGATTTTGAGGAGTGTGTCGGCTTTGATGACGGTATAGATGAAAATGATGACTTTGAACGCGCTGAACCAATCGAACTACCACCGCAATGCACGGAGTGTTTTCAACCGCACACCTGGAGTGAAAGTTGATTTGCCTGCAGACGCCACACCGCTGCAGGCATTTGAGCATATTTTTAATGAAGAACTTTGGATGCATCTTGTTACCGAGACGAATAGGTACAGTGACCAAACAAACCAAACTCCAACAAGAGCAAAGATGGCAAAGTGGTCACCCGCGACTGTGACGGAGATGAAGACATTTATTGGGCTGTGTATGGGCATGGGACTTCTTGTGTTGCCAGTACGAAGAGATTATTGGCGACAGAGTAAACCTCTCTTCAGGACGCAGTTCCCCCAAAATATGTCCCGGGACAGATTTGTGGCCATCTGGAGGTAAGTTGTATGCAATTTATAACACAGACATGTGCATTATTATGCATAATAATACTGTAAATAAGTAATCATCAGATAGTTATTTATGTAATGTTTGTTCTTTATTTTAAAAACGTTTTATATTGCACATTCTCAATGAAGACATGATCACATATGGAAAAAATAAAAGGCTGAATTTTTTTTTTTTTTTTTTTGATTACTGCTTTTCACTTTTTTTTTTTTTTTAAGAATTTCAAAGATAAAATATATTTTGAGTTCTATCTGCTACAGAAGCTGAGATATCAATAATTTACTAGGCGTTGACACAGTTGCTGAATTTACAGAAAAACTTCAGGTTTTAGGGGTATTTTTTAAAATCGGCCATAGGTTTTTAAGGTGTTTTTTCCAGGCGTTTTAGGCCTAAATGGGTTAACAGGAAGAAACCTCCAGCAGAACCAGGCTCAGTGTGAGCGGCCATCTGCTGAGGCCGACTGGTATGATTTTTTTACCACTTTTTTAGAGCTTCAAATATTAAATTAACACTACTTTTCATTTCCACTAAGTTGCAAGATATTTTTAGTAATTATTTTGTCTTTGCTTTTACGAAAAATAAGTCAAGTCGGAAGTGGTACAAAGCCGAAACCCACCTGTTACCACCCACGGCCTTTGTTGGAAATCTTGGTATTTTTTGGAACCGAAGGCTGCGACATCCCGGACTGTTTAAGGTGGACCTGTGAGGTCTACTTTGGTCACAGGAGATCTGTTATATGAGGCAACAGCTTCTTCTTTCCAAGATGATTTTAAGCTACTGGTTGCTCTGCTGAGCTGGTGGATCGAGTTTGAAATGCAAAAGACTTAATAATAATCTAATTGAACTTAGATTATTATTAAGTCTTTAATTGAACTGAGTTGCATGAAGTTCAAGACATGGATGGCGTGTCAGTTTCTGATACGGACAGCTAAACATCAACATGATGCAACACATAGACTCATGAGCTATAAGAAGCAGGAGATGACCTTGTTCGGGGCTCAATCTTTGCCGGACGCTCGCGGACGTGATTTTTGAGCCCACAGCTGTGCAAGCTCCAAGCATTTTCTCTGTCCTGTAACGACCTGATCTGGAATAAACTCTGTTATTTTTTACTCCTGTTTTATAGTCCTTTTTTTTATATGTTTTTACCCAGTTTGAGTTAAGAGTAGTACTGTAAATAAGTTGCTCCCAAGAAAAGAACCGTGAGGAAGCGCCCGAGGCGCAACGGCTTTTTTAGGGGACATAACTTCCTCATTTTAACAGTTTTAAGTCTAGCCTTAAAAGTAGACAGGGTGTCTGCCTCACGGACTAAAACTGGCAGTTGGTTCCACAGGAGAGGAGCCTGATAACTAAAAGATCTGCCTCCCATTCTACTTTTAGAAATTCCAGGAACCACTAGTAAACCTGCAGATTGAGAGTGAAGTGATCTGTTAGGAACATAAGGAACAATCAGATCTCTGATATCAGATGGAGCTTGGCCATTTAAGGCTTTATATGTGAGAAGGAGGATTTTAAATTCTATTCTAGATGTAACAGGAAGCCAATGAAGAGAAGCCAGGATAGGAGAGATATGATCTCTCTTTTTCATTTTCAGAACTCTGACACTGGTATAATTCAGCTCTCTGTGAGCTGTGGGAAAATGTCTCTAAACGTTTTAGTGGAAACGTGTTAATTGGTTAACGCACTGCGATGAGAATGCTAAGGTGCAATACATTAAATATGCAGATGTTGTATATATTGTGGAAAATTAAATCCACTTGTTTAAAAAGAAATCCACAAAAAAACATATTTTCTTTTGTCCAAATTTCTTCTGGACACCACAGCCATGTCCTAACTTAGGGGCCGGTCCCACCTGGCTTAGTGGTTTATTACCTGTAGTAGTCTTGTGCCCTCTTTTTTTATATATATATATATATATATATATACATATTTCAGCAATTATTTTTTCTTTTTACTGTTTTTGAAGATTGCACATTTTTTTTCTTTTCTTTTTCTTTTCTTTTCGGTCCGAGCTTGGATCGGTAACCAGGCCAAGCTCAGTTTTGACGACCGTTCACACGTCACACTTATCTCGGTTATCTCGACTCCTCGACTCCTCGCCTCCTAGTGACGATGTGCGGTATTACTGCTAGGATTGAAGGAGGGACTCAAGCAGCTGGTGACGGTAATGCACGAAATCTTTTTAAACACTTTGTGGTTGTGTTTCGCGCCCTCCAACATCGCCTGGATAGCGTCCTCTGCCCATATAGCAATAACGGCCTCAGTCTCGGCGTCATCCCAGGTTGCACCACGCTCTTTTGAAGCCATTATTGAAAATGTTGCGTGGAGAAGATCTCTGTTGTTTATACTTGTTCTTCTTCTGTATTGTGTTTGTTGGCAAGCAACTTCCGGTGGGGCATTACCGCCAACTACTGGAATGGAGTGTGAATCGGCATGTTCAGCCAGTCGAGGATGACGCGTTCTGCTCATGCGCTCTTGTTATCAGAGAACCGAGCCAGGAAAAAACCGAGACGAACCCACCTCGGGAACTGGTCTGCAGTTAGTGCGGTCCGGTTATGTCTATCTCGGTTCAGTTCAGGTTGTTTCCGTTCACCCACGACAAGTTATCTCAGTTACTGAGCTCGGACCGGTCTCCGCTCAGTTTTTTAAGGGTAGTGTAAACGGGGTAAAAGATGCACAGAAAAGGCCTGCGTTTTTTTTTTTTTTTATCAAACAATTTTTAAACATAGGAAATATCCGAACAGTTTAAATATTTTATTTGACATTTTTTAAACCCAGAGCAACATATCAATAGGAAATGTTTGGGTTTTTTTTCTGCAGTGTGCCTCCTCTGCAGAGTAGTCAAGTCAAGTCAGCTTTTATTGTCATTTTTTACATATGTACAAGACATACAAGGGAAATGAAATTACGTTTACTCTCTGCAATATACAAATATACAAGAAATATACAAGACTGACATTTAAAAACTGACATAAACAGTAACGATCAGGGGAAAATCACATGGCAACGATCAGTGTTGAAAGCAACTTCAGGAGGGATCTAAAGAGACGTGGAAATAATGTAAAAGGCCAGAACAGAACAAGATCCCAATGTTTACCTTTGGATTGGTTCAGGCAGGAATTCAAAGTGTTAAACTATTCACGCTGTTAAGCCAAAATCCTGCTACATTCTGCCTTCAGATGGTGACTTAATGGTTTCCAGTCGGCCGCTTGGCTTTGGACCAGACTCTTCTCTGAGTCTGGGCTGCTTTGTTGGGGAAATTCTCCCGCGGCTCCCCAAATGAACTACAAGTGGGACACGCCGTGCTGCTGCTCTATTCACACTCTCCCTGTGTTTCTGTACCCACGGTAGCTGTAAAATGCATCTCGCACACAGAAACATCCACAGAAGCTCTTGTAGAAGCTGAGGTGTGGGATTACAGAGTGGAATCTCTTGGACTGGGAGCTGTGAATGACTGTGGAACCACTGTGGGTTTTTTTTTTCTCTGCCAGCCGTGTATCTGGGGAAGAATGGAGGGCTGTGTTTTTATGGAGCAGTGTTTGAAAAATCGATGACTCTGCAGTGAGATTGCAGATCCTCCTGCACACAGTCCAACTTTTAAACAACTTTACAAGCTAATGTTGGGAATAAATAATTTCGTCCCTCAGCTTTAAAAACAACAATCAGTACGGCTTCCTGGAATTACTGCTGAATTACGTATAAATTGAAATAATTCCTGAAGTTCTGCTTTTTCTTTCTTTGTTTCTTTGTTTCTTTTTCTTTCTTTCTTTGTTTTTCTTTGTTTCTTTGTTTCTTTCTTTCTTTGTCTCTTTCTTTCTTTGTTTGTTTGTTTCTTTCTTCCTTCCTTCCTTCCTTCCTTCCTTGTTTCTTTGTTTCTTTCTTTTTTTTCCTTCCTTCCTTCTTTGTTTCTTCGTTTCTTTCTTCCTTCCTTTCTTCCTCCCTTCCTTCCTTCCTTCCTTCCTTCCTTCCTTCCTTCCTTCCTTCCTTCCTTCCTTCCTTCCTTCCTTCCTTCCTTCCTTCCTTCCTTCCTTCCTTCTTTGTTTCTTTCTTTCTTCCTTCCTTCTTTGTTTCTTTCTTTTTTTCTTCCTTCCTTCCTTCCTTCCTTCTTTGTTTCTTTCTTTCTTCCTTCCTTCTTTGTTTCTTTCTTTCTTCCTTCCTTCTTTGTTTCTTTCTTTTTTTCTTCCTTCCTTCCTTCCTTCCTTCCTTCTTTGTTTCTTTCTTTTTTCTTCCTTCCTTCCTTCTTTGTTTCTTTCTTTCTTCCTTCCTTCTTTGTTTCTTTGTTTCTTTCTTTTTTTCTTCCTTCCTTCCTTCCTTCCTTCCTTCCTTCCTTCCTTCCTTCCTTCCTTCCTTCCTTCCTTCCTTCCGTCTTTGATTCTTCGTTTCTTTCTTTCGTTCTTCCTTCCTTCCTTTTTTCCTTCCTTCCTTCCTTCCTTCCTTCCTTCCTTCCTTCCTTCCTTCCTTCCTTCCTTCCTTCTTTGTTTCTTTCTTTTTTCTTCCTTCCTTCCTTCCTTCCTTTTTTGTTTCTTTCTTCCTTCCTTTCTTTCTCTGAGTTATTTTTATTGTTATTTTAATTGATGTTGAGCCGTATACCGATCTGGTTGCCATAGTGATTTCAAACATATTTTCTTTACCAGGGGAGCTGTAAAACTGTTAAATTTCCATTTATGCCCAGCCTTTTTATTTTATTTATAATTTATTGGACTCAAGGTATCAGAATACAAACTGATATCTTGTGAATAAAACTGCAAACCAATGCGTTTGCTCAATGATCAGTGCAGAAAATGGTTGTTTAGTCTTTTGGTCATTATAGTTATGGAAAAAGTTTGTTTTCCTTTATTTGATTATTATATGTCACACAAAAATCTACATTTATAAAAAAATTAAAAATAAAATCAATGTCAGTCTTTATGTAGAGATTGTCTGAAATGTTTTTATGAGGCGGTGCAAAAAAAGTTTGGAGTTGGTTTTTTATTTAGAAACCAGATCAGATTCTGTTTTTTCGGTCCTTTCAGTGAAAAGCTGCTGGGATCTTTTATGGAGGAAGGAGTGACTTTGACGAGGGTCTGGAGGAAGGATCCAGTGAGGTTCCAGAAATAAAAAAAAAAAACAGTCCAACTAATGTCAGAACCTCTGGACTGAAAATCTTTGTGTCTTTAAATAAAACTTTGTTTTTACTCCAAAAGGAGGATTTATTATCGCATCTGATATGATTGTTTTACCTTATGACCACTAACCTTTTCTTCTTTTCACAGTCTGCTTCCCTCATTGCACTCACTTAACTGCTGCTGCGCCCACTAGTGGTGAGTGCTGCTAACACGCTTCTAATATGCATAGCATTGATCCGTTCTGCTTATTAACAGCTTTGTTGCATGTAAACAAACCCACCTGTGCTCTGTTGTTTTAATTGAATACATTTCATGTCAATATAAAAATATCATCATCAGGAAAACCTGAGTAAAAAAAAACAACAAATCTTATTCAATAACATCGTGTGCTGAGAATAAACTTTTAATTTTACACATCATAGTTTCAGATTCTGTAAATAAAGTGCCTGAGGTGTCCATGAATACTTGACTTAATATTTAATGTGATTGATGGGTTTAAAATAGTTAGGAAGTTCAAGGTAAAGGAACTAATAATTTATAATAATTATTGTAGTTTTTTCTCTTTCCTGTCTCTTGAAGTTTTATAATTTTCTCTTAAAAGTTTAAATTTAGTTAGAATGGGTGGAGAGCATCTGTAAGCATCAGTTTACCATCATCGCAGGTTTTAGATCTGGGCTTTGACTAGGCCGCTCTAACATGCACTAATGCTTTGATCTAAACTACTGTAGTTTCTAATTGTTGTTCAGTTTGGAGTTAAGGAAATGTCCTCATAGCATGATGCTGCCACCTCCATGTTTCACTGTAGCGGTCCTTTTTTTCATGGCAATGTGCAGTGCTGTTTTTTTTTTTTTTTGTTGTTGCACAAAATGCACTTAAGCTACAAAATAAAAAAAATGGGTCTCCGATCAGAGCTGTTCTTCTATTTGTTTGTCGTTGCTGATGTCTTCTACATGGCTTGTGTCAGATGGGACGTCATATGAACTGGTTGTTTCCCTTTCAAAAAAACATAATTGTGGAGCCCAAAATGAGTTATCCTGCTAATCCTGCAGCTGTTCCATTCTCCCTGGGATTTATTCTCACACTTAAATCCTGACCTTTCTAAGTTTAAGGCTGTTTTATCAGGTCGGCTGCATGTGTGTCGCAGCGGATGCAAATGTGCCACGCCCCCTCCGCAGACGCTCTGCTGCCCCTCTACAAAATTGTAGGTGACTGCAGACAGGAGGCCTCTTATTAGGGTTGTCACGATACTAAACTTTTCAACTCGATACCGATACTAAGTAAAATATTCGATACTCGATAACCTTTTCGATACCACAAGGATAAAAACAAAGACTCTAAAATTCAACAGAAATATTTTCATTACTAAAAAAATACAAGAAATAAATAAATGGTCGTATGCTGTGCACAATATTAAGCAAGCTTGATAAAAAACTTAGAAAAATTAAAATTAGGTGTTTCTTCCTTGGCTATGCTTTGCAGATGTTTTTCAGTGTGAAACTGAAAAAAGCACAGAATTATTCAGTCACACAGTGTTCAGAAAGTGCTTTTTTCACTATTCTGCACTTTAGATGGCTGTATCGATACTTTTGAAAATGAGTATTGTATCCGGATACAACGTTTCAGTATCGATACTTTATTGACTATCGATACTTTTGACAACCCTACCTCTTATTGGTCAAATCTACATCTGACTTACACTTTGCGTCTCCTGTTTGGTACCTTACTGGCTTGTTTTTTTTTTTTGTATGACAGCCATTGCGGAAAACGACTCGTGAAGATGGACCAGCTAGAAGAGCGAGGTTCGCGAGAACGCTGGGACTGTTTTTCCACCTGGATCCTCGCTCTTTTTTGCCTTCATGTCCCTCCGTTTTGGACAAACTTGCCCCCACTTCCACGCCGCCTCAGCCACTGAAAAAAAAATAGAGGTTGACAGAACTTAAATTTTCTAGACAACGTGATGCATTTGGTTTTTTGAGTTTTCCTTACTTAAATTCACTGTGGTTGAGTTTACAGAAATTTTTGAGTTCTGCCAACTTAGGTTTTTGGAGTGTTACATAGAAATTTTAAGTTCTACTAACTTAGGTTTTTCAGTTTCACCTTTAAGTTCTGAGTTCTATCAATTTTGTTTTATGAGTTTGACATATACACTCACCGGCCACTTTATTAGGTACACCTGTCCAACTGCTCGTTAACACTTAATTTCTAAGCAGCCAATCACATAGGGGCAACTCAGTGCATTTAGGCATGTAGACATGGTCAAGACAATCTCCTGCAGTTCAAACCGAGCATCAGTATGGGGAAGAAAGGTGATTTGAGTGACTTTGAACGTGGCATGATTGTTGATGCCAGAAGGGCTGGTCTGAGTATTTCAGAAACTGCTGATCTACTGGGATTTTCACGCACAACCATCTCTAGGGTTTACAGAGAATGGTCGGAAAAAGAAAAAACATCCAGTGAGCGGCAGTTCTGTGGGCGGAAATGCCTTGTTGATGTCAGAGGTCAGAGGAGAATGGCCAGACTGGTTCGAGCTGATAGAAGGGCAACAGTGACTCAACTAACCACCCGTTACAACCGAGGTGGGCAGAAGAGCATCTCTGAACGCACAGTACGTCGAACTTTGAGGCAGATGGGCTACAGCAGCAGAAGACCACGACAAGAACATGACAATTAGTTCACTGTACTCAAATGGCCTCCACAGTCAACAGATCTTAATCCAATAGAGCATCTTTGGGATGTGGTGGAACGGGAGATTCGCATCATGGATGTGCAGCCGACAAATCTGCGGCAACTGTGTGATGCCATCATGTCAATATGGACCAAACTCCCTGAGGAATGCTTCCAGCACCTTGTTGAATCTATGCCACCAAGAATTGAGGCAGTTCTGAAGGCAAAAGGGGGTCCAACCCGTTACTAGCATGGGGTACCTAATAAAGTGGCCGGTGAGTGTAGTTTTTGAGTTCTACAAACTCAGATTTTGTAGTGTTATCTGTAAGTTGAGTTCTATCAACTCAGTTTTTTTAGTTCTACCAATCGTCTTCACTACCCATCATTCAACACACAAAAAATTGTTAATGCACCATTTTTATTGCTTCAAGTCAAACGTTGTATCGATAGATACAGTATAAAACCATGTTCAACAACATAATCTTAATTGCACAGAGCAAAGTAACCTGAGAGCCTCTTGAGAACTGCACTTTCCTCTCCACATGTGCGTGTGTTTGCGTTTGCTTATTCAGGCTTAGGGTTGAACGCGAGGGAAAAAGGCTGTGCACTTGAAGAAAGGGATAGGAAACCCCGTACCGTAGTAGGCGTGTCCATGAACATGAGCAGTGTGCATGCCCATGAGTTTACAGTTGAGGGAACTCAAAAAATCGTTTATAGGCGATTTAAAACTCTTTGTTAAACCAACTTCTGAGAATTTGAGTCTGGCAAACATGAATTTATTTGTTAGATGTCAAATTTATATTTCTGAGTCAGATTACAATACAATTGTGTGTTAGAAAATGCCATAGACCCAGTTGTCCCTCTTGCGTTGTGCGTGGAATAACAGCGCAGAGCACGCTTCAAAATTAGGCATAAATCCAAAATATCTGGGACAAGTTCACTGCAGTACACTGCTGCAGGAGGATAATCAGCCCTTTAGAGCTTTAATGTTGATCTGGGTTTTCCCAGCACCTCTTGGGAAAGTTACTTCTCGCCAGTTTTCATACGGATGTGTTGCTTCCAGCGAGAGTTTAGCCTATTTGATTCTACGCCTTAAGCAGTAAGCCAGCTTGCATGATGCTAATTAAAATGGACTTCCTGGAGTTCTTTATCAAATGGAACCTCGTATAGAAACTGCCTTTTGTTTTTCTGGAGTTAGTCAGACAATAGAAACTTGTCTGTTTTGGACAAGTTTCTATTGACTGACATCAACGGGCTTCCTCAGAACACACGTCTCCTGCCGCCGCGCTCAGCAGAAAAACCTCTTTTGAGAATCTTTTCTCTGGGCTTTCAGAAAGAATTGCAGAGCAGCTGTCAGACGGGTTTGTTGCTGCTCCGTGTTTGCAGTGTCAGTCAGAGGAAGACGCTGGGTACGAACACACTGCGGCTGTCACCGCGGCACCCAGAGGCTGTCAGTCAGCCGCTCTGCTCCTGTCAGAGACTTCAGGCTGGTTCCTGATCTCCATATCTGACGGAAACCTGAAGGTCATCTTTGAGGCAAAGGTGGAGCTGTGCTCATTGGAAATTTATCAGACAGACACAAAAGCAGCAACCAGGGTCACTTTTTAGTTCTTCTTCAGACCACTGCAGCTTTTTACTGAGATGTGAGCAGCTCGGTTCAAACCAGATTTTCCCTTTTCTTAGTGGGAAAACTTTTACTTCCTTTCTGTCCCCATTAAACTGCTCCAGTATCACTTAAATCCGGAGCTTAATGGATTTTACTGAAAACCTTGGATCTTTGCACATCCTTTTGTCAATGTTGTTTAAAGTGTGTTTTTTGGGAATTTGTTCTAACATATAAAACAATTTAGATAATTTTGCCTCTTTTTTTACCTTCCTACCTTAAAGTTAAAATAATTCCAGTAGGATTAGTGGGGATCCACTTCATTGTTGATCTACGACCTTGTGTAGAAAATTGCGGCTAAATGATGTAAGATGTCATCAAACCAATATTTAAAGTAGGGATGCACGATATTGGGATTTTGGCCGATATCCGATATGCCGATATTTTAAAACTCGTGTAGCCGATAACCGATATCGATACCGATGTTAAAGCTGGACAAAAATAAGTAGTCATTGAAAATAGCAGTTTTGTTATCCATTTCCTACAAACTAAAACCCAATACATTATTACAGCAGGAATCGGCCGAAATTACTGGAAAAACACTGGAAAAAATCAACATCTAAATAAGTCATTTTTTTTCTTGAAATAAGTGCATTTTGTCTTGAATTGAGGAGGTAAAAGAGACATTTTGTCAAAGGAACGAGACAATTTACACTTAAAAGAAGAAAACACAATTGCATTGTCTAATTTCAAGTGCATTTTATCTAATTATCTCATTTTAACACTAAAAATACTCATTCCATTGGCAAACTATCTCATTTACCTACTCAAATTAAGGGTAAATACACTTAATTTAAGAAACTTTTACTTATTTCTAGATCATTTTACCAGTGAAAGTGTTCGAATTTGTGAAAGGAAACCCAAATATTGAAGCTCATCATACGGTTTTAAAAATGGAAACTTTTTAACATGAAATTGAATTTTTTTTTTATTTAGCTGCAAAAAAAAACAAAAAAAAAAAACGATTTTAGCTGATCCAAACCTTTCAGCTGTAAGTTCTAACTAACTAGACCTGTCTGGTTAGTTTAATCCTAAGCATGACACCGCCGCCACCATGTTTAACACATGAGCTGCTCCTTTCCATCAACATCCCTTCTGCTTTCCACATATCTGAAAGTTCATCTTGTCAAACTTCTTCCAGAATCCTTCGCTGGCATAACTGATTTTTAATCAATTTTTAAATCTCAAAAAGTTGTTTTTCTTCTGGTTTCTCTTTTTTTTTATTTTGCTTCTTGTTTTGCAGAATCCTTGTTTCTGTGCATGACATATTCTGGCAAATCTCTCTCCCAACACAGAGCTGACATGCGACTTTTGACCGTACGGATGGAGTTCTTAAGTTTTCCTTTTCAAATCTTCATAGGTTGATAATTCTTCTCTGTTGTAAATCATGTACTGGAGAAACTCTGAGGCCCTTCATGAGTGAAACAGAAGGACAGTGAGTGGAAATCAGACTGAAGTCGTGTGTTTTAGTTTGGAGCCGTGGTAAATGGACTGTTTGGACTCAGATGGGATCAGAGCAGAAAGTACGGTCTGATTTAAAGCCAGCGGAGGTAGTTGTGTAATCTCAGACCTCACAAACTCTGTCACATTCAATTTGGCTGTAATGGAGGTTTTATGGCTGCTGCTGTTGGCTGACCAACTCTGAGCTCATCAGTATTAAATCAAAACAGCTGGGACTCTTTACTGATCTCAAAAAACAACAATATGGTTAAGCTAATGGACCTTAAACCCTCCATGCTTAAAAATTTAACACAAAACATGGATAACCGCTGAAGATCAGTGATGGTTTTACCAGTGTTTCCCTCTGGGCTCTGATTATTAGAAACAGAAACATTGTTTAATTTCATATCAGCCATGATTGGTAATAAGTCAATGAGCTGCTGTTAAATTATTCAGGTATAACTTTCAATTAGATTTATTGGCAAAATTCTTAAAACATTTTGCAGCAAATCTGCCAAAAAAAAATTATTATTAGTTCAACTAAATTTTTTTAGGGATGCACCATATTGGGATTTTGGCCGATATCCGATATGCCGATATTTTAAAACTCATGTAGCCGATAACCGATATCGATACTGATGTTAAAGCTGGACAAAAATAAGTAGTCATTGAAAATAGCAGTTTTGTTATCCATTTCTGACACTTTGAAAAATAATATACTCAAATATATTTTCATATGCTGATATCAAATAGATTTTTAAAAACGCGGTATCGATCTATTTTACTTTCAAAATCTCGTGAAATTTCATCGTTCTGTTACAAACTCTCGAGACATTTTGCACATTTTTGTGAGATTTTGTTAGTAAAATAGATCGATACCGCGTCAATATATCAACATATAAAAATATGGCAACATTTGGTGAATTTTCGGGGGATTTCGTAGCATAACGATGACATATAGCAATATTTCATTAGTAAAAGAGATTGATATGGTGTTTTTTAAATGGCAATATATCAGCATATGAAGATATCGTGATATTTTAATGTAACAATATTTTTTCCCTCGTCTTTAGAAGTTTTTAAGTCTGTAAAAAAGAAGTTTTTGAAGAAGAAGAAGTAGTATTTATTTATTTTATTTTTTTTTAGACTTTAGAAACTCAGAAGCTGATCAAATATCGGGTTAAATATTGGTGGGGTGGCCGATTATATCCTGCATCCCTACTTAAAAGGCCTGTTTAATGACTTCTGCAGACTTAAAATAACCCCAGAATGTCCGTTTTTGGTCGTTTTTGGGGAATCCTTCAGCTGATCTACTGAAAATTTGATACCTGGCGAGACAGGAGCTTCTAGTAGCTGAACTGAGGAATAAAAACCCACCGAGCAGAGCTGAGCTCCTCAGGTCAGAGGCTCTGAAACATATTTAGAATTGGTGGAAAAAAAATAGTCACAAATGGTGCTGCCAAGTTTCCAACATCGTAATAAATCTTTCTTTATGAGACTCCAGTAAAAAAAGAAAAAAAGAACAAACTATCAATAAAATTATTAAAAATGTTATCTTTTCAGCTGTTATTTCAGGTTCAGTTTTTTAGTTTCTGTCTCTTAGACCAGAACCAGGAGTTAAACTGACTGGATCAGAACATTTGAGGGGTGAATTATGTTTGTCCTAATATAGAAATTCTATATTTATCCATGTTCATCAGTCCTACTGCCTTCATTGGTAACCCTCCTGCAATCTTAGCCCTGGAGCAACGCTGTCCGTGGTGCTGAAAAGTCATTTTGACATTTTTATTGGTAGAAAACATGAAATATTCAGAGTTTTCATCAGATTCCACCTTTAATTAAACCTAAAGTCCTTAATTAGATATTAATAAAAGGTAATTTTAAGCTTTCATGTTGAATTTTTTTGTTCCAATATGTTTTGAAATCCAACCGCAGTTGGTTTCAATATTTACCAAAGACATTTTCAGTGAGTCGAGAGTTTTTTTTTCCCACCTGTATCTGCTTTTTTCCTCTTCCTGCCACCTGATGATGTAACTTTCATTCCATTAAACATCAGAACTATTCCTCCAGGTCTGTCCGTTTATATTTTTTGGGCCTTTATCTATGCAGGGGCAATAATATCTTATAATCAAACGTCACAGTCAGCAGTATCTAAGACTGTTCTGTTCAGCAAAGTAATGCCATTGTAGTCTGCTTTTCCTTGTGTCAAAAAGGAAGAAAGGTATAATAAATATAGGTAAATATTGGCCATTGCAGATGTTGGTCTAAGGTTTTATATAATTTTGTATCATTTCCAGGGTTTCCCTGGAAAACGTGACTGAAAAGGGGAAAAAAAGAAACTTTGTTTAGGTCTGATGTTTAACAAAAGAGCACCATACCCACAGAGAAGCACAGGGGTGGCAGCATAATGCTATGGGGTCATTTCCCCTTTGCTGGAAGCAGGGTTTAGTTTAGAAAGCTAAGTGAAAGTTAAACAGTTCCAAATACTTGTTGATGATGATTTCTGGTAAAAAGCTGAAGATGTTTTTGGAAGAACCGGAATCCAGACCAGAATCTGGGACCTGAGGAGGTCTGTTAACCTGACAGGTCCTCACAGTTTGAAACATTCTGACTCATTTTGGAAGAAAAATTACCAAACAAATGATGCAAAACCAAAGATGGTTTCTCTCAGTTTAAGGTTCATATTAATGATGGAGAAAAATCTGAAATGATTAACTTTTCTCTATATATTTTCGATTATCCTGCCCTTTGAACAAAGCTATGTAAACCTTTTATGTTGTTTCATTTCTCCTTTAGTTTTGCTGTTTTAATTGTAGAGATGATCATTATTAACTTTCCTGTTTTTAATTCTCTGTTCCCTAAAGGTTCCACCCCACTTACAGGCTGTGAAGCCGGTGGACCGAGCTGCTCAGGTAGGAAAACTAAACGCACCTCTATTATAAAAGTGGTCAGAATGTTTTAGCTGTATATAGGAAACTTAAGTTGAATAAAAATGCAGTTTTTATTGTGAGAAGGGCTGGATATGACCTACAGTAGTAGCCATTCAAAATGTCTCCACTTCCCTTGATGGACCCTTGGCTGGTCCCCTACAATTCCTTTTTAAACATCAATCTTTGTACTAAAATATTCTTTCTGTCAGGATTTTTGGACTTTAAGATCTAAAGAGAAGGGTGATCTCCTGGTCAGATCCTGTAATTCAGTGAAAGGGTGGAGTCGGAGTGAAAAAAAATATGGGAGTCACTCCAGTGGCTGGAAGTTGGAGGGGATTTTGTTGAGAGTTGGAGGGATGCGGGCTGCCAATCAGCTGGCATTTGACTGGGAAGGGCCATTTTGAATGGCTGCTACTGTAATGTTCATCTAAAAAACATTTTACTTTGTCTTTTAGACACACATATCACTTTTACATGTACGGCTCATCGGAATGATATGGTGCGTTATGTGAAAACTTTTTTTCCCAGTTTGGATGTTATGTAAAATTTGAAATTGAGGTGTGACACCTTCCTCTACATGTTTCACATATGGACATTTGGTAACATGTGAAGCTAATGTGGAAAACTTGCTACATGGGAAACAGTTTTACATTACACATGGAAATTTTAGCACATAATGACAGAAAACGAATGTTCAAAATGTCCGTATGTACAGTATCATGGATGAAAAGGTTCCCGCAGGTGAAGGAGCTTTTTCAAAGTAAAAAAACAAAACAAATGTGATCCTGTTGGTTTACATGAGTGAGTTGGTGTGATTTTTGTTTTTTTTTGTGTTGGCTGTGATTTAATATACTGTGATCCAAGTTCACAGGATTTTAGGAGGAGATGAATATTTTCTTTTTCTTGACATTTTTTAACACAGGAGGAGAAAACCTTTGATGTTTGTTCAAACTTTCACTGTTTTCATGCCGGAAAATATCCACCTGAATACAAGGAAAGTGGATCTTTTGACATTTTTACAAACGTGCTGTAATTCTAAGGTTGTTGTCTAGGTAACGGGTGCATCTGTAAAACAGGCAGACTCTGAGGGAATCCAACTTTAAACCTAACGCCATCATATCGGCTCTCCGCTTAGAAAAACATCCGCCTGCTTTGAAGGTGTGACATGAAGGCGGTTCTTTCCCATTGGTTTTTTTTGTTTCAATCACTGGGAGGTTTTCTGCCGTCCTGGCAGCTGCTGAACCATCTAACTAGATTCTGGACGCCTTGTTTAGAGAAACTTTCTGCTCTAAATCCGGGCTTTTTTTTCCCATACGGAAACGTTTTGTGACCTCCGAAAGTTCCTACTCATAGTTCAGCCTGAATTCATTCACACACCTGGCAAAAAAATTAATTTATTCAACTAATAAGTTCATTTTTTTATTGGAAAAATGACAGAAGTCTCTTAATTAATTATAAAAACAATCAAAAGTTATTTGTGAAAAATTATTTTCATTTTTATTCATTTTGATATCCTTATTGGCTTTTGAGAAATCAAAACCTTTTTTTTTTTTATAGCTGATCAGCTTAAATATGTTTCCTCTAATATATTAATAATTAATTTCAGGCAAAGAGCCTCGGAGTTGTTAAAGGAATAGTACACCCAAAACATGATTAGCCTTCATTTTCTACTCACCCCCATGCTGAACAACACTCTGGAGTACTTTTTTGATATCTCAAATGCATCTGGAGATCTGGGAGGCTTCTTGCTGTCTGCTGACATTCAAATAATGGAGGTCTATGGCGCCCGAGACAGAAAGGTCCATAAAAGTCCACAAAAAACGTGTCAATATTCCTCCATACTGCTCGTCCAATGTATTCCAAGTATCCTGAGTGGGTAGCGTCCATAATTTACTTGAAACGAAGTCATTTAGAATGTTTTAGAGCATAAACAGTAGTGTATAGGATTTCCTGAAAGCGCGTTCACGAGTCTACGGAAACCGCGGCAGACCAAACCAGATGAAAGTGCGCATTCAGCGTCTGCTCTGCTGATAATGCAAGCGTAGAAGAAGAAATGTGCTGTTTACCTGTGCAAAGAAACAACCAACGAAAGAAAAATGTCTGAGGACTTCAGTGTTGAGGAAGAGCATGAGTTCTTTGCTGAGCTGAATGCGCACTTTCATCCGGTTTGGTCTGCCGCGGTTTCCGTAGACTCGTGAACGCGCTTTTAGGAAATCCTATACACTACTGTTTATGCTCTAAAAATATTCTAAATGACTTCGTTTCGAGTAAATTCTGGATGCTACCCACTCAGGACACTTGGAATACATTGGACGAGCAGTATGGAGGAATATTGACACGTTTTTTGTGGACTTTTATGGACCTTTCTGTCTCGGGCGCCATAGACCTCCATTATTTGAATGTCAGCAGACAGCAAGAAGCCTCCCAGGTCTCCAGATGCATTTGAGATATCAAAAAAGTACTCCAGAGTGTTGTTCAGCATGGGGGTGAGTAGAAAATGAAGGCTAATCATGTTTTGGGTGTACTATTCCTTTAAGTTGGAAGACATCCTTTCAATTACCCTAATCTGTAACTCAGTCTGAAGATTATTTAACTCTGTAAAAAAAAATTTATTACCTCCAGTTTTGCAGAAGTCATATTTGAATGTCAAATCATTCTGACTTAAACATGTATTTAAATGTACTCTTTTTCAGATGATATTGTCCCAAAATTTAGAAAATTTCAATAAAAAAAAAAAATCCTGTCTTAAAATCTGTTTTGTTTTTGTTTTTTGTTTTTTCATTATCTTCTGCAGGCCAGTTAGTTCTACGTCAGCCTGAACACCTAAATTCGGCCAATCACATATCAACGGTCATCTGTCAATCACATTTTTTCGGTCATAGCATCTTGATTCATATGTCGCAGCTAATATACGCAACGGTTGAAACCAGAATCCTTTCCTTTCCCATTGAGTTCCGTCCCAGTGTTCACGGGGATGGACGTCTGTGTCTTCGGCAGGCGTAGAGCTAACAGAACTGGCAGCGTTGCGAGGCAAGGGCTCAAACATGTACGGCTGGAAGCCTTCTACACCAAACCAAGCTTCTGCCGCCCTGGCGTCCTCTTCCACAACATCTTCGTCCCCGCTTTCCTCCTCTAAATAAACAACGGATGACGGAGGAGACTCATCCACGACCTCCGACACTAAACTCTCCTCCTCTTGCATGTTTCCTCTGTCCATAGCGTTCCTTGACAGTGTCGTTTCTAAGTCACCGATTTAGTGCTACTTGGTCCCATTGGGAACCTACTAGCACTAAGTTGCTAACTGGTTAGCAAGATGATTCCGATAAACCGGCCACAACGGTCCCCTTGATAATCGACCAATCACATTATTTATTCACTCGTGTAAAATCGGCACCAGAATCCAGAAATGCCACTTCCCTGTGACTTTAAAATAAATGATTTTGAACCCCCGCCGAACACACCCGTATTTGAACAGACGTGTTTTAGAAAGTTTCCCCTTGTCCAGACCCATATTTTAGGTGCTTGTGTGGTTCTCTGAAGGTACTCCATGTTCCTCCACAGCCCAGAATCATTTGCTGTTTGGTGCAAAGGTCTCTGACTTTCCTTTAGGTATGCAGCTCAGTTTAAAATTTTTTTGATTAATTTAAAACTTGAATAAGGTTTGTATGTACAGTGTTGCTTGTCCCATGTGACTCCGCCTCTCCAGGGCGTCTGTTTCCATGTGGTTGAACCATTTTAGCATTGATGAGCAGATACCATTGGCTGTTTTTTCTTCTTACCTGTCTGTGTTTTAAAACCCAAAGTATTCCCTAATAATGCAGCCCTGTATATGTGACCAGCACTGCTTTTTCTGCTCCTTTCCAGTTTGGTTTGATGCATTCTAAACTCTTTTTAAATACAGAATGGAGCCACGTTTCAGTTCATAGCCACCAGGGCGGCGCAGCTGACACTGTTCTGTTCTCCTCTGAACAAAATTTTGCTCAATCATTCCTGCTCTCTGTGTTCAGACGCAGAATTCAAGCAAAATGAATGAAAAAAAGCAATAAACTTGACAGCCTCTTTAAAAAAACTGCTTGTTGGTCGGAGGATTTGTCCACCTTGTTTCTGTCTCCAACCGTCAGAAAACCTTTAATGATCCGAATCATCTCTGCAACGTTTGTTAAACTGCAGTTGCATCACAGCCATTCACCATCCGCTGCATCTTTCTCTGTTTTATCCAAACCCCTTCACTTCCACCAGCTGCTTCCTCCCCCACCACCTCATCCACTGACTCCACTAACACCAGCCATGCTATTAATGCCACCTTCCACGGTAAGCACATCCATCCATCCTCCTCCTCTTCAGCGCCTTCTTAGGTTATTTTCAGGTTATTTTTAGTTATTCTTTTCCTTTTTTTTTGTTTAAAGTATAAAAACTTCCACTTTAGAGTCTTCCTCTTCTTCCGCTCATCTAGATAAATGCTGATTAGTCCTTTTAGAACCTGTTAACTAGAAGAGCGAGGATATTTTAACCCCAGCAGCGTTTCATATCCCTCCCATCCCTTTAGCCTCCACCCCCACAACTAGCATGCCACTAATCATCAACACCAGCACTTTCAGCTCATCTGGTAAGCCTTCATCTGCTTCGCTGCCCTGTTGTTTTACCATCATTGAAACATTTTTGTATCAGGACATGATTAAAACACCTTTCTGCTCCTCATTAGGTCTTAGTTTATAGTTAAAACTACCTCATTAGGGAACTATGTCTTCTACAGAAAAGCAAAGCTAAGACCTTAGAGAAACAACTTTTGTCACCTGGAAATGTGAGGAAGGTTAAATGACAAAACAATTATGGCCTCTGATAAAAAAAAATGAAAAGAAAAAGTCGTCTTTTAAAGCAAAAGTTGCATCTGAAGAACGAGAGGATGTCTGATGGAACATGTTTTACACAGATAAGAACCCCAGTCGGCCTCAGCAGATGGCCGCTCACACTGAGCCTGGTTCTGCTGGAGGTTTCTTCCTTTTAAAAGGGAGTTTTTCCTCTCCACTGTCGCTACAAGCATGCTTAGTGGGATTGCATTCGAGTGCAATCGATGCAATCAACTGGTTGCTGGATGACCTGAACTGTAAAGTGCCTTGAGATGACATGTATTGTAAATTGGCGTTATAGAAATAAACTGAACTGAATTGAATAAAATAAGAGCTAATCAGAGAAGTTCAGTTATGATGCACAAAAACCAAAAACTTCATGTCTGCAAAAACACCTCCGTTTTGTTTTATTATTGTTGCCGGCACAAAAAACCTTTATAAATAGAAATAAATATATATATATTGTTCAGAGATGTAATAAAAAAAAAAAAAACGCTGTTTGAAACTTTGCTTTTTCTAAGATTTTAATATAACTATAATTATATTCAAATGTTATTTTTTTATTTATTTTTTCTAAAACATTTGACAGATTTTATATTTTCAGATTTTATACTTTTTAGATTAAGATCTACAAATTGTATTTTTTCAAATTGTGTTTTACAGATCATATTCTCTTCACTTCAAGCCCGATATGATAGAAGCCTTTCCAAATTTCCCCACTTTCCTTGCTGGTCCTCGGCTTTCTGTCATGATTTGTGGACATTAAGATCTAAAGAGAATCATCATCTCCTAATCACCCCCCGTAATTCAGTGAAAGGGTGGAGTCAGAGTAAAAAGAAAAATGCAAGAGGGGGTCACTGCAGTGGCTGGAAGTTGGAGGGGATTTACGGGGAGTTCCAGGGAAGTGTGCTGCTATTCAACCATTCAACTGGCGTTTGACTGACCACGGCCATTTTGAATGGCTGCTACTTGACAAAAGCTCACTGGTAACGCGTTTAGAGCTGAAACAATTAATCGGATTAATCATAATTAATCGATTATTAATAATCGTCAACTAATTTGGTAATCCATTAATTTCTAACTGGAGTATATAGACCGTAAAACATGCATTTAGTTGATAGATCGACCCACTTAGAGCAGGATATTATGTTCTTTAAGGAACCTTTGGCTATCAGATTATTAATTGATTCATTGAAAATTGACAGATTAATTGATTAGCAAAATGAGTTGTAGCCCTAATCCAGCAGACCAATAAAGCGTCTTTGTTCCTCACTCCAAAAGAAAACCCGCCTCTGGAAGTGAAGAAAATGTGATCTTTAAAACCCAATCTGAAAATGAAAAATTTGCTAAATAATATAAAATAAAAACAAAGGGGAATAATAAAGTCTGGAAAATAAAATATGAAAATGTTTTCCAAACTTTAATTTCTGGATTGCCTTTTTTTTTTTTAAGTTCTATTTACAAAAGGTGTTTTTTGGCTTGAAACAAAAACTTCATACGTAGCTCTACAGCCACAGGGTCATCCATCCAATAGTAGAGGCTTGACCAGAACTGGACTCATCAACAGGATGAGAATAATAAAATAAATAAATAAATAAATTGAACTTTATTGATCAATTTACTGAAAAGTGCCTTGAGGTGACATGTGTTGTGATTTGACGCTATAGAAATAAACTGAATTGAATTGAATATGGAATTAATCTCACAATGAAGAATTTTATCATCTCCTTGGGGAACAGTGGGCTGCTTGTAAGCTTGTAAAATAAAGAAACAAAATAATTAAAATAGATTTTTTGGGAAGAAAATTATTAACAAAAAGTTTTTCTTTTATCCTTTTTAATAAGAAGAAAGACAGCATATTTTATCCTATTTTAAGGTTATGCTGCTGATCTGCATAAAGACAAAAAAACGTGGAAGAGAGGCTCCGACTCTTAGCCTCCATCCGCACAGAGACAAAATTAAATGCACCTGCAAAAACACCTGATGATGTTTGGACCTTAAGAGATGCATAAAATAAATATAAGACTGAAAGGATTTAGGCTCAGCTTCCCCAGCGATGCTAGAGACCGACGTTGAATCTTAATCCAATGATTCTTTGGTTTTCCATATATTTTTCTTCTTTTTTTTAATTAACAGCTAATTAACCTGATAAATATGGGGCCAAAATTGTTGCTTTATTATTTACAAATGTGTGTGGAGACTCGTATATCTGTATCTCGATTTGTACGTGTGTAGGGGGATTTGAAAATGTGTAAATGAAACTGTAAATGTGTGAGGAGATTTGTGTGTCTGTACAACAATCTGCAAATGTGCAAAACTACTTGTGTGTGTGTAATCTGGTTTGCAAATGTGTAAAAAATCCACAAATCTGTATTCAGATCTACAAATATGTACTGAGATTTACAAATCTGTACTAAGATTTGCAAATGTGTAGAACAATCTGTAAGCACACACAGAGACACTGTGTCCGAAGTATTTTCGCTTCAACACCCAGAAATACAGACACATCATTGGTTACAAGTCCCGCGGTTTCTCGGTTGGCTCTCTTTACACACGTGATTTTTGCTACACTTCTGCCGTGTGAGATGCACAAATGCGTAAAAGGATTTGTATCTGTAATATCTGGATTTGCTGCCCTGGGCGCAGGCTCGCAGGCTGCCTCTTCCTCTTCCTTTTTTTTCCCCCGCTGCGGAAGTTGACTTGACAAGTAAAGATGGCTGCTAACAGCGAGATGGTTTCGAACGTTTGCGGCTACAAATAATCCATGTGTAAGCAACTTAAAGGCACACTATGCAACATTTTTCAGTTAATTAATGTGTTCCATAACGTTTTGGATGATTGAATGATTCATTTCAGGTTGAACAAAGGTATTCTCGGCCGCCCTGGTGGTCTGTGGGGGAAATACCGCACTTGCAATTGCAGGAGCACCGACCCGCATCCACAGGCTCAGAAGTCTCGCGAGAGTCGGTCTTGCTTTACGGCGAGAACTGCTACACCCCCCAGTTAAAAGCATTCTCGTTGCTAGCACAGTGGCGATCTTTGTGCAGTTATGCTACGTTCACATCGGACGCAGCAAAATCGCCTCTGCTGCTTCATTTTTGCTGCTTGTACCAGTTAGTTCTGACGCGCGGCTGAAGCAGCTTTGCTGCTCTGGCTGCGCGGTGCAAAAGTGTGTCTGACGCGCGATGGGCGGAGCTTCACTATCCTTTCTCTGCCTTGCAGCTATATTTGCTGTGATCAGTGAGAATAAAGTAGTTTTAATATGTGTTTAAGTGAGAAAATACAACTGAAAACGTAATCAGTGCAGTCAGTTCATTCAGATTATTATCCTGCCTTCAATATTTTTTCTGTCGGAGCCGCTCAGACCCCCACATACCAGCAGTGCGCCGACAGTAGGAATCCCTTCATCAGCAGCCTCTGGCCGGGTCGCCTCCTCACGGTTCACCGCGGCAGCTGGTAGGTGTTTTTCATCTAAATAATCCAAACTGCATATTCTGCCGGCAGATTTCTGCATTTTAAGTTAATTTAGGCGTCAATAAACTGTTTAAGAGGAGTGATCATCAGCGCTGTGTCTCTCTCCCTGCGTCAGATGCTTAAACGCGCCCGACGCGCTGCTTCAGCTGCTCAGACGTGCTGCGCCTGCTGCTCAAAACGCGCTGCGGGACCTTTTGCTGCGCCTTGACGTTACGTTGCATGTAAACTCGCTGCTTCTGTCGCGCCAGCTGCGGTGTGAACGCAGCATTAGTCATTCGTTGCGTTCACCTGTCTGCTAAGCTCAAAACAACCGCGCCTGGCTTGACGGAGAAACCAGGAGAACAGCTGAGCATATTTACGACAGTGCACTTTTACTTTCGCCCTCTGGGGGGAGCCTCGCTGGAAAATCAACACCGGTTGCATAGTGTACCTTTAAGTAAAAAAAAAAAAAAAAAAAAAAAAATGTAAATCTTTTTTTTTTTTTTTTTTTTGAGATATTACAGATCAAATCCTTTTACGCATTTGTCGACGGCATCTCGGCGGCAGAAGTGTAGCAAAAATAACGCGTGTAAAGAGAGCCAACCAAGAAACCGCTGGACTTGTAACCAATGATGTCTGTATTTCTGGGTGTTGAAGTGAAAATACTTCAGACAGTGTCTCTGTGTGCCCTTACAGATTGTTCCACACATTTACAAATCTTACTACAGATTTGTAAATCTAAATACAGAGTTGTGCATGTTTTACACATTTGCAAACCAGATTACACACACAAGTAGTTTTGCACATTTCCAGATTGTTGTACAGACACACAAATCTCCTCACACATTTACAGTTTCATTTACACATTTTCAAATCCTCCTGCACACGCACGAATCGAGATACAGATATACGAGTCTCCACACACATTTGTAAACAATAAAGCAACAATTTTGGCCCCATAGATAAAGAGCAGATCACCTTTAGGTCCTGATACAAAAACAATAAATAACAGCCTGGTTTCCTGCTATCCCTGTAAAAATACCTCTCTTGCTGCCGTGACCCAACAGGCTGCTGCGTTTGTTGCTTTAACCCAGTGTGTTCGTGCGATTTCTGGTACTGACATGCCACCATGTTGTGCTAATCAGCTTCTGCCACCATCAGCACCAGCGCTGCCCCGCCTCCATCCACCGCTGCTTCCGCCAGCAGCACAACACATGGTAAGGTAGATAGCATCATCAGCAGCAGTAGGACAGACTTTAACATGAACTATTTGGATACATGTCTTGGTTTTGCAGCAGATTGGACACATCAGTGTCTTTAAGGCGACTTACATGAAGTGATTTTTACTTTTCCTGTAGCTGAACAGACAAGCGGCGTCACAGCAGCTGTTTGGTCTGCTGGCACTAACCCTGCTGCTACTAACAGCTCAGAGCTCGGTAAGAGCAGCTTTAACATTCAACTCTGTCACTTCTGATAGTAGAAAACATGTTCAGCACGGTGCACTAAACGGTTTTTGGAATAACTGAGAATAAAAAAAAAAAAAACTTTCCAAACCGACATGGCCTGATGTGAAAATGGAAAAAGTTGATTTCTTGACTGCCAGATCTTTAGATTTGAGATCTCACAAAAATGAAATGAAAAAGGAAGCTAATAGTTCTGAGAAAGCAACAAACATAAAGAAACCAAGTCAATTATATCAATTATTAAATTCAATCATATTTTAATCCAAAAACCATATGTTCTAAAACCATCTTTACACCCAAATTATTGGATAAATGGACATATGAGCAAAGCAGCAGAAATATTTCTTCTTTTTAGTCCATAATTTAAGTTATTGAATCATCAGATTAGTTATAAGTTCTTGTCATGCACCTTTTTTAGGAACTCTTGATCTTTCATGCAACCGTTTTTGAAAAGCCCCATTTTTAGGTGTGAATTTCAGATGAACATGAACTCTTTCCATTGGATGTAGTAAAAGCTACGTATATAGTAAGGAGGCATAAAATGCAGCCTTTAAGAGTTTAACATTTGCTGTAAACGGAAGATAAAGTCCTACAACAGAGCTCTAACAGTGTCCAGATCATTGCCTTTCAGAGCTCAAGATTTGCAATCAAATATGCAACTTTTGCTGCAGTTGAAAAATAGATACCACCGAGTCTACTTTGTCTCTTTAAGACAGTTAATAAGACAAAAAACTACTGTTGCAACCACATTTAGCAGGGAGTTGTTCATTTTTTTCAGGTTATGACTTACTAGACTTAGTCTAAACTTTATTTATACCTTGGGATTACTCCAGGGAAATTCTGGATCCAGTAGCTTGGGGTTCTGTCACACCTTGCAGACTTAGCCAGCAAACACACGACATCCCAGAATCTTCTAAAACGCTTGCATACGCTGAATTTTCTATGTATTTTTTCCCTTTTGGGTGTTTACATAGCGTATTCATAAGGAGTCTAGAACTTATGTCCAACAGCAACTTATGCATAATGCATGGCATGCCTATATGATGTTTGTGCATTATTTCATAGGTATTACTGTCAGGTCTAAGCATCTAAAACATTATACATACATACAGGGAAAGAAAAAAGGCACAGAGACAATTAATTTAGTTTTACTCACGAGGAGAGCAGGAAGGGACTACAGAGTTTACAATCTCCACCTCACTCTGCAGTCCCAGCGTTCTGCTCGCTGTTTATTAGAAATCAGGGGTCCCTTGTTACAACAGCTGAGACTGCTCTAGAGATCAGAAACAACATGAACAATTCAGACCTGCAGTCTCAGTAGACATCCTATAAATTTCAGGGTTCAGTCAAAGTCCAAGCGGTTGAAGCTGTTCACCAAAGTTCAGCAGGTCGAGTGCTGCCCGTAAATCAACCACAACCTCCTCAAAACCAAATCTACAAATCACAGTATACTACAGAAAAGGTGGCTGTGAAAACACAACAATTATTCTAACAGTTACGAAGCATCAGTTAAAGCTGCTACCCTCAGACAAACCGCTGTTATCCAGGCTTAGCTGCTGTTTACCGTCTGCCCAAAAAAAAGAATAAATAAAAAGAAAAAGAAAGAAGGTTTGCAGTTGCAGCCGATTCAGCATCATGTCTGCTAGGAAGTTTGTCAATCGTGGGCGTGAACGGAGGGAGGATACATCACATTTAAGTTCTCGCTCACTCTATGATGAGGATGAAGTCTGGAAGAGGTTCCACCTGTGAACCCCCTTTATTGCCTCGTGAGACCATCCTGATCTCGCGAGCTTTCAAGATTTTACTCGCAGATCAGTCTGGAGACTCTCAGTAAAAAAAATTGGAGCCGTTCTCCAAACGAATGTCCGATCAGCGTTGGCTTTGAGGCGGGTTGAGGTGTGACGCAACGAGAAGCGCGACAGTTCAGTCTAAAGAACATGGCCGCTTCAGCCGATGAAACTAGCGTTAGTGTGGCTATCGAGCAAGTTTTATCAGAATTACAGAGTATTTCTTCACTGAAAGAAGAGCAAAATACTGCTCTGGAGGCTTTTCTCAGAGGAAAAGATGTTTTTGCTCTTCTCCCGACTGGTTTCGGCAAGAGTTTGATCTATCAATTGGCTGTTAGTACTTCTCTGTTAGTACGCTCTGTTAGTACGTCATATGTTTCGTTGATCTGATTGGTTTATTTGGCTCGTCTATCACCAACTTAGGCCAATCAGCTAACCAGTATTTTCGCCCCTTCCCAAAATTACTTCAACGGAAGGTTTCCAGATGGATATGCGGAGCAAATCCATCTGGCGGAGTCAGGTTACCCCCTTTATACCAAAACGCTGCCAATACGCCATTATACAGTAGCTGGAAGTTAGAAACACGTTCAGCGCTCCTCTGGAACACGTCAGATACGTTAATATGTGTTGTAGGTAAGTTCTTGATAAGTTACGCATAAGTTATGCACATATTACTCACAGGTTTGGATAAGGTAGACGCCACAACTTAAGAGTAACTTACACTTAACGTATGTCAACCATCAGATAACTTACCTGTGACTTATGGCCCACATATGGCATATGCTGGCATACGTCAGGAAATTTTGAGTTTGCTTAAGATTTCTTGACATACTTGGTGTGATATATTGACATGTGCCAGCGTGTTTCAGCGTGCTCAAAACTTATACAAAAACGTACCCATAACTTATCCAAAGTGTGCCAGCGTTTTTGCCAGATTTTCCTTACTTGCGGCCAGTGATGGGAGTAACGGCGTTGAAAGTAACGGCGTTACTAATGCCGCTACCTTTTTTAGTAACGAGTAATCAAAATTGTTACTCTTACTGTAACTATAACGCAGTTACAATTGCCGACACCCCGTTACTGCACGTTACTCAGGTCGCACAATTGACCTTTTTTCATGATAGGACTCGTGCGCGCGTCATGAGAGAGGGGAGGATGGAGAGTGAGGAGGGGTCCAGCAGCAAAACAGCGCTTTCCAGATGGAAATACCGGTGTTACGTCGAGCTGCGTTTCCCCATCAGATACGGTTTCCCCTGCATCTCCGCACAGCGCGGCGGCACAATTCACCGCGTAAGCAACAGGAAACGCGCATGCTCGCTAAAGGCGCGTAACAGCCGCCCTGTGCTCGCGCCACAGGAGAACTACGGAGAGCGTGAAGGATCATTAGATAGATAGATAGATAGATAGATAGATAGATAGATAGATAGATAGATAGATAGATAGATAGATAGATAGATAGACAACCCCAGTTATTAATTTCATACACTCGCAAAAGTAACGCAATAGTTACTTTTACTACTAACTAACTCAGTTACTAACTCAGTTACTTATTGGGAGAAGTATCTAGTAACTATAACTAATTACTTTTTCAAAGTAACGTGCCCAACACTGCTTGCGGCATACGCTGGTCTAAATAATCAAGGTGTGACGGGGCCTTTAAATAGAGCCCAATAGAGTAAAAAGTTGGTTCTGAAGCTCATCAACTGTTCTGATGTAGGAATTTATTCCACGAATGTTACTGCTTTCACTAACATCGCAAAGGGCTGGGCTGCTGCAACATAAGTTATACTGAGATGGTTTTTATAATTGAATGCTTGTAAAGCTGCTTTTGCATCAGATTTAAATGTAAAAAAAAGCAAATAAGAATTCACTCTCGAGACTTTAGTATGTTTTAAAAAAATGCAATTAAGAGTGCTATTTTTTATGCCTTAAAATTAATAAATTAAAGGCCCAGCCTAAGTTGAAAGGATTACAAAGCTAGGTTCACCAATCAAAATTACTCCAAAAGCTCATTAGTAGATTATCCAGGAGGAAAAAAAGAAGAACCAAAATATCTTAAGCTCTACAGGCCTCATTTAAATCGGTTAAAACCAGATTTCATGATTGAACAATAGGCTAACATTTCCACGTTAGACTGGATATGTTGTGTTTTATTATGTGCGTCTTAAGTTAATGTGTGCTTTGTTTGATATCGGAAGCATTTTTATTTTAACTCTCTAATTGTAGCAAAATATAGAAAAGATTGGTTGTTAGACACGCACAGCAAGTATCTGTGCTCAGGACCTGAAACAGAAAGGTTCTACATCCAAGCTGATAGATAATCATCTTAGCTTTAACAGAAAGTCGATGTTTATAGAATTCTATAAATATTTCAGATTTATAAACCTGAGCACCAGCTCTGTACTAGAACCAAGGCTGCATTGCTGGAAAGTAACACTAGTTATCCTCCTAATAAGTTGAACTAAGCCAAAGAGAAAGCACGGCCTAGACATATCTGTGGGTTGTTGGCAGCTGGCTGAATAGTTAAGTTTCCAAGGGTTGATGCAATGCACTAAAAGTTTATGGAGATTCTAATATATCCAAATTTTACACAATTGCTTAAAAAACATTTGAACAATCAAATGCTTAGATTCTTCCACATCATGCATGCAATATTAACTTTCTTCTGAATAAATAATCATTCCTTTGATTTCTTTGATTTTACTTATTTTGATTTCAGATTTATTCAATCCCTCAAAGCAAAAAAATAAATAAAAAAAACAATTTTAGCATTAAATGGATGGATGGATGGATGGATGGATGGATGGATGGATGGATGGATGGATGGATGGATGGATGGATGGATGGATGGATGGATGGATGGATGGATGGATCTATAGATGGATCTATAGATGGATGGATGGATGGATCTATAGATGGATGGATGGATGGATCTATAGATGGACGGATGGATCTATAGATGGATGGATGGATGGATGGATGGATCTATAGATGGACGGATGGATCTATAGATGGATGGATGGATGGATGGATCTATAGATGGATGGATGGGTGGATGGATGGATCTATAGATGGACGGATGGATCTATAGATGGATGGATGGATGGATGGATCTATAGATGGATGGATGGGTGGATGGATGGATGGATGGATGGATGGATGAATGGATGGATCTATAGATGGACGGATGGATCTATAGATGGATGGATGGATGGATGGATCTATAGATGGATGGATGGATGGATTGATTGATGGATTGATGAATGGATGGATCTATAGATGAATGGATGGATCTATGGATGGATCTATAGATGGATGGATGGATGGATGGATCTATAGATGGATGGATGGATGGATGGATCTATAGATGGATGGATGGATGGATTGATGGATGGATTGATGAATGGATGGATCTATAGATGGATGGATGGATGGATGGATGGATCTATAGGTGGATGGATGGATGGATCTATAGATGGATGGATGGATGGATCTATAGATGGATGGATGGATGGATCTATAGGTGGATGGATGGATGGATCTATAGATGGATGGATGGATGGATCTATAGATGGATGGATGGATGGATCTATAGATGGATGGATGGATGGGCTAATTTTGAAAAAGAAAATTAGGATATTTGTCATGTGGATAAAGACTCAGGGAATGAACAAATCAGACCTTTATCATCCACATTCCATAGAACACTATTTTAAAACATTTGCCCATTTCTGTTTATATGCTGACTTAATTTTTCTAATTATTTCTTAAGCCCCCAAATAAAATACTATAAAAATGCTGATTCTTCTAGTATTTACTAATTCCTTCCAACCTTTTATCTTTTAACCGCCTTCGTTTTCCTAGTTTCTGCTGTTGGTTTGTCACCTGAAACTCTTCCAGGGACGACTCTTCAGCTGCCGCTTCTAACCACCAGCCACCTGTCCACTAACAAAGCTGAAACTGATGGTTCTTCTCTGGGTAACATATCACATTGCATGACCTGTTTACCATCTGTGTAATAAACTCTCCATAAGTTCTTTAGTTCTGTCCAATCTTCTGGTCTCTGTATTGTTGCAAGAGTTAATCAAATTATGCAAGTGATTCATAGCTTATCTGGATGAAAGAAGCATTTGTTCAAATCTACAATGTCTGGTAACCTTGTTGGTTTTTCTCATTGGTGTAATGTTTATTTTGCTGAAGATTTTAAATTAACCCACTTTAATTAACTTGCTTCACCAGAGAAGAGCGCTTCAAAATTCTCCTCCAGAACTACAAGGCCGAAACCGGCGGTCATCCACAATCAAAGTCTAAATGATGGATTAGCTCCTGGAAGAAACTTTGGATTTTTTCAAATGAACAGAAGATTGAGGCGTGCGCTGCATCCAAGTCACTCTAGAAGAACTTTACCTCCTCGCTCCTTTATGTCCAGTCAGTTTAATCTTACACACAAAGAGTTCAGACTCCCAAAGTCAAGCTACCAACCCCGAAACATCGCTCCAACCCTCAATCCCGTCTCATCCCGGGATCCTTCCCGTCCAAGATCGGCTTTCTTCCGGGGAGCTGCATCCTACAGCAGGCCTAAACACTCCCTGGGGTTTATCTCCACCCCTCTGAGGAAAAGGCCGAGCGCAGTGAGGCGACCAGCTGCTACCCGGGCAACACCCAGCAGGGTGGAGGTTCGTGTGACAAAACCCTCCGCTCCAAAAATCGGACTTAAGTCGACAGCCAGGCCCGTTACGAGAAACACAACCCCACCTTTGGGGAATCCGACCCAGGCGACAGATCAAATAAATCGTCCAGTTTTCACTGCGAAGCCTTTGTCTGTAACTCATAAGATCACAACAAACAAGTCCCCAACAACCGGCAGAGACTCTCAAACTCTCCTTGGACCACAGGCTTCCTTATCATCGCAGGACTCATCTCCACGGCAACATAAAGGTGAGGTGTCTTCATCATCATCATTGGCATCATCATGGCTGAGTAACAGAAAGAAAAAACCTGTAGCGCCCGCTTGGCTGCTCAGCATCAGCGATGAGGAATTCCAAACAAGGAATTGGACGGATCCTCTGGAGTACTCTTCAGGGTCCGACATGTTCATGTACGAGGTGGGCCACCTGTACGAATATGATCCTGTTACCTCAGAGGAAGAACTTCCTACCGGCACCGTATCCGGAGTATCGGAGACCCTGACAGAAGAGGATACAGAGGAAATGTCCCAAAGTAACAGAAGTCCAGTTGAACCGAACTTTGAGGAACATTTAGGGATTCGGCCGGCATCGTCTTTAACTAACCTCACCGTTTCAGCCTCTACTGTTGTTTCTCTGGAGGTTCCCCCCAAACCAGCTGTTGGTGTTTCTGTCTTACAGCAGGAAACCAACAACACGCCTGATTCCTCTCTACTTGTGGGACAGACTGGCTTAATTCACAACATAGATCTAAATCAAGAAACAAGCTTGTCCGCCGAAATCCGTCCCTCCCCGGTTTTCCATCCTCTATCTTCCTCACAGTCTCTTTTGGGTCCAGTTGAGCCGCCTTCTTTCTCCTCCAACACTTTCTCTCCTCTTCAGTTTTCTGCTTCTCTTTTGGTGTCGGGAACCTCCGATTCTTCTAATGTGCCACCTCTGTCTCCCTCCTCCAACCTTGTAAAAGAATTTCATACCATACCTGCAGATCCATCTCTACCGTCACATCGTCTTCTTTCTGATTCCATCTCTGAGAACCGTATACCACCTGGTGTTGATGCCTTTCTACCTGAAGCTTTCCTGTTTTCTGAAAAGCAATCCTCCCGCAATATATCCCAAATTCCTTCCCAGTCAGATCCTTTAAGCTCCTCGGACGGCTCCATGAGTCAGAACAGCCCAACTTCCTTGAATGTGGAGAATTTATCGGAGGTGTTGAGGTCAAATAGATCCGGTCCATCTTTGAGTCCTATCTCGCTGTGGCCTGATCCAAGAGATTTTAAGGATGTTTATCCTTTTCCAGATGAGTCTCATATAAGTCATCTGTTTACCTCTGCTAAACTTCAGTCAGAAGATCCTCCTGCTTCCTTAAATCCTTCACATTCAGACGTTCTACTTCATGCTTTATCTCACAACCAGCGTGAAAACCTGAGGACGTCCATTGAGACGTCACCTCCTTCTGTAGGGAACTCGGAGCAGTTCCTTGGAGATCCCACACGATCTCAGATCAGGTTAAGTGTCACCAGCTCCTCTATGATTGATGATAATGATCCGTTTATTCATCCATCTTTACCCTCCTTAAATCCAGCTACAACACGCCACAGAACCCATCTGGTAATCCCGGCTCCACATGCTGATGGGTCGAACCGTATTCCAAACTTAGCACACATCCTCCAGCCTCCTTCTCCCTCTGTTTCTCAAATTCCTCCCACTGTATCCCTCCCCGTCACCTCCAGCAGGTCGACTTCAGCAACCGTCAGCCTGACAGAAACAGAAACCGGCTTTCTGTCACCATCTCGACCCACAGCGGCCTTCCTGAACAAACACTTCCAGACCGCACACAGAGCAGACATGCCGGTCGAGCAGTTCTTCTCCCACTCCAGAAAACAATCTTCCTCGCTCTCTGGAGATGAATGGGAAGCCATTCCCTCCCAGCCTCTGGCTCCTGCTAGAAACACAGACATTGATGGAGTTTCATTTCATCCTGCAAGCAGCTCCCAGACAGCAGAACCATCCAGAAAGGTTTTGAAGTTTGATCTCAAGGATGTCGTTCCAAAGGTGTTCCCTATAGAAGAGTCTGTCTCTGGAGTAACCACTACTACAGTTGACAGCAGAAGTGATGCCAGAACTCTAAATGTGATCCTGGAAGCTGGAGCTGCGTCTTTACACATTTATAATCCATGCATGATGGATGCATCTCAAGAAACTACTGATGCTTTTATGGGAGAACCCCTGCTGCCTTCTGACCCCGATCCAGCAGCTTTCAGGTCCCCCAACAGCTCTTCTATCCATGCCCCAAATCAGGATTCCCTGTCTGAGCTCAACATGCTGTCTGCCTCTGCTAACACAGAGACAGCAGCCACAATAAACAGCTCAGAAATGAGTGAGGACGTCGATCCTCCTTCTGAGCCAGAAACAACAGATATCACTCAAGCTGGAGATTCTGCTGTAGGTTTGATCTCTGATCCCAGCCTGTGGAACCAGGCTGTTCTGAAGCCACCTTCAGTATCTTCATCCTCAGCTGCTCCCTTCAAGGATGCAAGACAGACAACATTACAGCCCACCCTGAGTGTGGATCCCTGCCATTGTAAACAGACCTTTGATTTTCCGTGTCTGTGCAGAGAGTCATCGGGAAACAGTATGTCCAACCTGTAGCTGTAGATGGTCGGAGAAAAAACAATCACATCAAAACCTTCTTCCTGATTGTATTAGGTCTTAAAATCTGGGGTTTTTAAGCCCAGATTGGCTCTGATAAGAACCTTTAGATAAAATAAAGTGAGGATTTTAGGACTGGGTGCATGTTTGATTTTTTTTTAAAAAGGTGGTTGGGCTTTACAATGAAATAAATCTAGATCCTCCTGGTGATTGCTGTGTTGATTCTGAGCCATTTCTATGGCCTGAGCTGTCCAATCATACTGATGTAATGATCACCGTCGATGTAGATGAAACTGAGTGATTCTATAATTGATTTCTATGTTGGATTATCTGACACTTTCCTCACGCTTGATCAGTTTCGGCCATCTTCCTTTATCTAAGTCCATTCAGCTTTCTGGTGGAGAACTTCTGCTCATCTGCTTTGATTCAGAACCTGAAGTTTGCTTGAGATGCTCAAAGGAACAGAAAAAAATCCATGTGCAGTTTGCAGGGTCTCCAACCAGAAATAATGTTGTCTGTCAATAGCTGGAAGTATCACATTCAAATGCAAGAGCGACATCTAGTGGCTGCTGTGAAGCATAGCAGGAGATGGAACAAAGAACCTCAACCACTGCAACTAGCACTAATCTCTATTTATTCACTGGATTGCTGATTGCCTATTGGTAGTAGGGGGTTTAAGTGAAGCCACCGGCCGCCATATTGGTACTCCCTAGTTAGACAGGTCGCAATGTAAACAATATCTGCGCTACAGCATCACACAACAGTGCTTTTGTTTTTATATTTTCAAGGGGGCTTAAAACTTTTAAAATAAAAATAGATTAATCACTTTGACACACACTTGCTGTTCCATAGCATTAGTAGATTACTTTAACTTATGATAAAAAAATCACAAAATGAATGTGTTGGATGGAGCATAATAATACAGATGTGCCAAAAGTGCTAAATTGATGATGTACATGTAATATACATGTATTTATTACATTGTTAGGGTAACTACATCGTACATGTCTATGTGTATATTTATATTACCTGTGAAACGTCTCCCCACAGCTGGCAAAATACTTGTTTTTGCAACCAACTGCTACACATGTTGACATTTTTACTGTGTGTCTCAGTGGGAGTGGGGAGTACCAGTATGGCGGACGGAGGTTTCACTTTTTTGTGCCATCAGCAATCCAGTGAATAATAGCGATGAGTGAGGGCTATGACGAGGGTGAGGTGGGGGGTTAATCTGCAGATCTTTTCTAATGGGAATCCAGACTGAAATTCTGCAAGTTTGCAGAGTTTTGAAATCCTGCAGATTGCAACTAATGATAAAATTTCATTTAATGAAGGATATTAAATTAGATGAAGTTCCACTTAAGGTCTTCAGTTTGTTCCAGAAGTATTCAAACACTTTGAGTCTTTCTAGGGTGTGTGAAGGTGGAACTTCTGATGAAGTTTACTGGGATTTTCTATGACAGGCCAGAAAACAGCCCACAGCACCACTATTTATCTCATAGAGACTTCACTGTTACCCTTATTAACTTTGGCCAAAATTACTAAAGTACTTGTGCCTAGTTTTAGTCATTCTTTGTCTTATTTTTATGTCTTTTGATTGGAAAGCTACAGCTGGTCCCATCAGTCAGCACACCCCCACCCCCCGAAAAAAAAGACAACTAAAGTTTTGCAGGTTTTAGCCATACATGCAAATTCTTGATCCATACTAGCAGCTCAGACAGATTTGGACTCTGCAGGGAAAAAAAATCCAGATGAAATGTGGAGGTTTATGAATCAGTCTGATACTGGAGGCCTGAAATTTCCTTAAATATTTTGAGTTTATTCTCTGATTCCAGCAGAAAACTAAAGCAAAACACTTATGGGCTCTCCTTCTGTGTTTTTCTTCATTTCCAGTAACTGTTCCTTTTACGGGGTATAGCAGTCTTCGTTGCTGCTGAGTAGAATATTTCCTAATTTTTGCATGTGCCTGTTGGCTCAGTATATTTGATTCATCTCCTGCTGTGAGGCACAGTAATAGAAAGGTCACTACAGGAGTAAAAAACATGACCAAGCGCTGATTTTTCTCTTATCTCATCTTTCCTCTGCAGATAGTTTGTTCTACCGGGTTTCTTTCACGGTGAATTCTGAGCTGAACCAGAAGGTGGAGGAATGTGAGAAGCTGTTGGTAAGACGGCGTTTTCTCTGTTTACGCTGAAAACAGCAGAAATGATCCGACCTGCAAACTGTTCCTGAATCTCCTGCTGAATGATCCGATTTATTTTTTCTTCCTGAATCACTTTTTCAGAACTGGAGCCATTCTGCAGCGGAAGTCAGGTAAGAACATATTTTCTTTACATGTACAAAAAGCTGTGGCTTCCTTGTGAAGCCTTTGTGGTATTTGAAACCTGATCACGTTATTCCTCTAAGTAACATACAATGTATTTAAATAAAACTGTTCGCTTAAATTCTTAAAGATCACGATAAACAAACCGTGGAACCGAGTGAAGGATGGAAACTGCTGCATTGGTTTGAATCAGGGATCATTGCTCCATCCTGCGATTATAGTTTTTGTCTCAATGTTTCTACAAGTCTTTCTTTTTTTGAACTGGACTGAAAAAAAATCAATTGGAACACAGAAATGAGTCCAATTAGCTGAAAGCCCAGGAAGAATTTGTTATAGAATAGATGTGGAACATTTTTATAAACTAAAATGTTCCAGAATAAACATTACATTTTCTAATAATGTTTGGGCCTTACATGGGCAGGACATGTGTGTCTCAATCTTTCAATTCCAAAAAAAGTTGTTTCAGTCAAAAAAAATATTTTCAATCAAAGAAAAAAACAGTTCAAAAACGCAAAAAAATAATTTTAAGGTGGTCAGTTGCCCACCCCTGGTCTACACCAACAATGAGATCTGTATAGAAAACTGTTGATAGCAAAACGCTGAAGGAAAACAAGATGAAACCTGGATCAGGGGCTTTTGGACTGAACAACAGATGAACCCTTGAAATAAATTAAACTAAACATTAATGAAGCTTTGTCTAAAATGAAACAATTAAATCACGTTGATATCAGATTATTTAGTATTGAGACATTTAAATGAAAAGAAAACTCAGTTCTTGTCTCTACAGAACAGATGGACACAGCGTGTCTCTGTGATGAGACGGGGATAATATGACAAAACATTTTAAAAATAAAGACATATTATTCAGCATTTGTCTGTCAATCTGGTGACTCTGCCTCTTATTGCTGCCCAATCAGAACCCCTCCCTCATGCTTCCCATGAGGCCTTAACCATTTGACATCCTTGCTTCTCACCTGTTAATGCTGCCATCTAGTGGAGTCTATGGAAGAGGATTAGGGCCACTGGAAAAAAAAAAAAAAAAGTTAACTGATTTTTTTATTTTATTTCAGTTTAACATGGGGAAAAAGTCAGAATTCAGAAGTCAGAACTTTTTTATTAAAGTCTGAATTCTGACTTTTTTCCCATGTTAAACTGAAATAAAATTTAAAAAGCAGTTAACTTTTTTTTTTTTTTCCAGTGGCCCTAATCCTCTTCTGTAGGAGTCGCACTAAAACTACAGTATAAAAAAGATTTATATCTTCAGAATCAGCCTTAAAAATTGGATTTGTGCTTAGGACTACAAAATATTAAACAGAAAAATCTAAAAACACATTAAAAGCTTAACACGGGTTAAAAAATGTGAAACTATTGCTACAAACACTGCTAATTTTAGGCAAAGGCGAATATTCTCTGAATTATGTTTTTTAGTAGTATTTGCATGTATTGAGCTTCTTGGGTTTGTTTTTTCTGATTTTATCACCGTCGCCTTTTCTTTGCAGACTCCAGCAGAATGGAGGCTCAAACAGGTAAGATTGCTGATTTTAACCTTAAAGAGCAGAGAAGCAGGTCAGTGGTTAGAGAGCCTCCTCAGCTTTAGGTCTGCCTACCTTTACAGCATGTTTTCATGTAAAAAACACATTAAAATAGGAGACTCATGGGTACAAGGTACATTTTATTACATCCTCAGGTTTCAGGAAACAAGTTGGCAGTTCATGGATATTTGAATTAAATGTATCAGGTCTTAGAAAAACAAAGCACAAGTTGTCACCTGTTGAAAGGTTTATTCCAAAAACCTCATACCTGATAATTTTTCCCCCCCAAGGACCTGAGAACTAAATAATTTTATAATATATACTGCAAACTGAAAACGTTCTGTAAAGCCTTAGACCTGAGATCTAAAAGGTAGTTTTTCCCCCAGAGACTAAATATTTTATTTTACTGAGAACTGCCATTTTTTTTCTATGCACTAAAGATTAATTTTATATATTTATATACACTGAGGCCTGAAAAGGTTTTTCTGTAAATCTGAAAACTTTTACCTGAGTTATAACTGATTTTTTATTTTATTTACTGAGACCTGAGAACTTTTTTTTCCTAATACCTGACGATTGTTTTCCTTAGACCTGAGAACGAAAAGCTTTTTTTTCCCCTGAGCCATGACAACATTTTTCTTGACACATTGTTTTTCCTAAAAAAAAAATGAAATAAAAATCTGAATATATGACATATTTTTACTGCTGTTAAGTATTGATTTCTGATAACTAAATTGCCTAATTTTTTTCTTTGTGTTTTGCTGCATTTTAACTTTCCTCAAAAAAATTCCTAACCTGACAACAGCCAGATGCATGTCTCGCTCCGCCTAGCTCCACTCACATACATCTGGGACACCGCCATAGGAATTGCCTTTACTGAAGGCTGGGCCTTATCAAAACTCCTTGCATATGATTGGATAAGCCACTTGTCTGTCATCTTTATCGACGTGCTATTTCAACCACTCACACCGAAGCTAACCCGTGACGCTGTGAGAGCTACGCAGGAAAAAAACAAAACAGAACAGCCGACATCTTGGATATAGCAACAGTGGAATCAGCGCAATGTCGGTAAATGATCAATGTCGTTTGTGCCATGAAAATGTGGGGATAAAAGGCAACATTGTGCACAGCAGACTTATTTAAAAAAAAGAAGCCAACCAAAAAAGTAAAGACGAACGACTTACAGAACTCGCTTCTCCACTACGTCACATGCAGGACACACCCGCCCTGCGTCCTGATTAGCCAGACCATAAATTTGGTTGTGGAAATCACTTTCAATGAGGGGTGTCCCAGATGTATGTGAGTGGAGCTAGGCGGAGCGAGACATGCATCTGGCTGTTGTCAGGTTAAAAAATTCCCACATTAAAGGAAAAGTCCGGTCAGC